ATATGCGAGCGGTGGTGAATTATATGATTATCTCAATCGGATGAAACGCATACCAGAATCTCAAGCACGTGCGATTTTCCGACAAATTGTTTCAGCTGTTCATTTTCTACATAAAGTATAGACAACCGAGTAGGAGATTTTCCAAGGTCGTTAACTTCGCTTTCTTTTAGAATAATATTGTTCACAGAGATCTCAAATTAGAAAATATTCTAATTGATCATAATGGTGATATCAAAGTATGTAGAAAGAAAAGCAGATCTAACTTGTAAGGATTATATGTGATCATCGCGTTTTTTTTTCTAGTTAGCAGATTTTGGTCTGAGTAATAATTGGTCACCGCGTCGATTATTGTACGTTAGAAAAACTCTCCTTTTACGGATGTATGTGATCTTCTAGTTCTAAATAGACATACATTCTGTGGATCTCCTTTGTACGCATCGCCCGAAATCGTTTCCGGTATTCCATACTATGGACCTGAAGTACGACGATTTCTTTTCGGTTTCGTTCGATAAAATCATGTGATCATTGACAGGTTGATTGCTGGTCATTGGGTGTATTACTCTATACCCTTGTCTATGGTTCAATGCCATTCCAAGGTGGTGATTACAATCGACTTGTACGGAATATAACATCAGGTGAATTCATTCAACCTCGTGAACAATCAGGTAATTAGATTTTTTTCTCTCTATTTCTATGAAATAGATATTAATCAATGAGCAAATACACACACATATATATAGAGAGAGATATGTGTGTACACATAGAAATATTGTCCTCTATCAGTCAGTATTCGAATCGATATAGATCGATTCGGATAGTGTCAGATGTCAGAAGAGAATCGATTGATCCCTTCTCCACTTTTCGTATCATATTGTTTCTTTAACAAATCGAAAACGAAATCTATAGGCGCACTCGGTCTTATCCGTAAATGTTTAACGGTACTACCATCAAAACGTTTCACTGTTGATGATGTTGCCGCTCATTGGTGGGTTAACCTTGGTTATAAATATCCACCCGTGCATTATTATTTGACGCCAGCAATGAAAAAAACTGGTCTCTTCATTCCATCCCATCTGCCCGCATTAACGTACAATGAATCGAATGGCAACGCAGTAGNTACAGCACAGCTATTAAATACTCTAACCTCTAATTCGTCTTGTCATGTTGACGATAGTATTAATCATACTGCTTCTACTACTAACAATAATAATCGACATTCATTTTTAACTTCATTTGAATTGCCAACCAAATATAATCCAGATAAAAATCATTTGCTCGATGATAACAATAATTTCGTTTCATTAAAAGTATATGATTAGTAAGAAGAAATCTTTCGTTGGTTTGTTTGTGTTTTTCTTTTCTTCATTTTCTCACTTTTCTGTGATATTTTCGTTCCTTTTTTTTTCATCATTATCTTTCTTTCGCTTCATAAAAGACAACAACAGTAGTAGATGTTCGTACAATTCTTTGGTTCTTCTCCATTTTTTTAAAAATGTACATCTAATTATATTACGCCTCTTATCACTGATCTCTTCTTTCTTCGTTCTTTTTCTGTTTATTTCAATAACAGTTTTCGTGTGCTCATTCTTTTTCTCTCATTCAGATTGTACAAAAAAAAAAGAAACGATATATATTGCTGCTATAAAAATATTTATTTCTGTGTGCGTGTATGTTCAAAGGTTGATTTTCGTTCCCTTTCTTCTTCTTCTTTTTGTCTTCTTTTGTATAGTGTGAGAGTGAGAGTGAAGGCGTAAACCTTGAAGAAAACATAATAGAACAATTGTGTCATTTTGTGCCTTCGTTTTTTTTTTCATTTGAATACTTTAATTTTACATTGATAACAAGGTTAAGTTTATTATTGTAAAAGAGAACAAATTTCAAGGAGATTTATTTGAATAATCCATTAAAGTCATCAACGATATGTCGAATTATGAAAGTGCAGGAATCAAACGTATGCCATCGTGCACTTTACTTAAACTTATCGCAAAGATATGCAACGAACTAATCTTCTTCTTGGTGTTTTTTTTTCTTCTTCTTCTGTTGACAATAAAGATCGTGTGTGACATAAGATTTTGCAATTGATTTTCATTTTCATTTCTTGTCGATGAACAACAAAATACAGACGCGCGTAAGACAGTAGAAAGTCAAGAATTTGACAGAAGAAGAGAGGAAAAAACAACAACAACATCAAATCAAGTCTAGAGATGGCTGGTGTTGCTCTAGAGAATCGACTAAAAACTGTTTCCGTAAAAAAATACAGATACACAGAGAAAAATGAGATCCAGTACGTATATGTATATCAATGCTCAGATTGATTTCGTCTATGTACATTGTTTTCTTGGAAAAAAGAACGTGACGTTATATACAGATGAAAAGGAGAAGTTTGTTTCAAACAAGAAAATCACTGCATTCGACGTCGAAAAACAAAACAGAAAACGTATAACAACACCGAGCAAGTTGAGAATACAACAATATGTACGTACGAATGAGACAGAGGAACACAATGTAGGAATATACAAAATAATCGAGGTTTTTTTAATGTCTTGTCGACATGTTTAACAAAAGTAAACCTATCGACAGCGACTGACAATTGGAGATATATTGTAACGAAGAAAAGAGAAAAAAACAAACGTGAACACAATATGCGTCTTTTTTTTCCTAGTCTATTTATACATATACATAGATAAATGGAGATCTTTTGTTTTTGCTTTTTATTTTAACAGAATGCATTCTATTCTTTATTTGTTATATATCAATAAATAGATTATTGAAATAGAAATTAATCACAAAACTTGCACACGTTGAAGACGTTGAGTTAATTTTTCCGACAGTGTTGAATCTGATGTGGATAAACGAAATAAAAGAAAGAGACCGACTTTGTCAGCGGAAGCGATCCAACCATGAGTGCCTGGATTAGGATTAAAGCGAATCTAGAATACCAAAACAAAATATCACTGTTAACATCTGGAAAAAGATCACACGTCGTTTACTTTGCGATATGTATGCACTTTGTGAGTTTCATCATGTTGAGTATCTACATTACTACTTGCGTATTCCTGAAATAGAAACAAAGAGTTCGAATGATTTACAATCCTCCAGGAATGAGAACACGAATATGTAGATGGGAGTAAGAATGTACAATGCTATTCAGATGATAAGAATAACTCGTACGCATTTCTGGAATATCAACACAAACTTTTCGTTTGAATGGAATTCTCATGACACATTGGCTTCTTATCACATGTGCCTTTCGAAAAACAAGAACGAATTTTTGTACTCAAGATAATTACCGTTCTTTCAATAGCAATTTGAACACAATATTGACCAGTAGGACTTTGGTTGTATTCTACAATCGAAGAGAAAATGATTCAAATAGATATTAATCGATATATTTACGTTGCATAGAAGGATCTCCTGGCTGGCCGGTGCCAGGACCAGTTAAATACGTGGATAATTTCGCTACGCACTAGAAACGAACAAGTATGTCGTTGTTTTCAACAAGGATTCGTTTGTCTTACAGCGCTAGGTCGAAATTTCGGATTACTCTGAGGCCATGTCGTTGGATCTCCACGTGAAATCCAAACCGTGCCTGAACAAAATTTTGATTTTAGATTACAAAATCTGAGACTGTCGTATCGTTACCATCGAGATCAGCATAACCAACTGAATCGATCCATTCGGAGTAATCCAAACTAACAATTTGCCATGCTGATAACATGGATGTTGGCATATGATTAGGAATATTCTGACCCGGTAATAAAATTGAATGAGTCGGCACCGAAAGTAATTCATTTTGATTACTAAATTCAAGATCAGTTTATTTTCTTCCTATCTTAGTATGCTTCCACTTACTTGGCATGTGCACAGCCAGCATATAGTGTATCGTGAAATATTGATGATGCAAATTCACTTGCATTCGACCAATGACGATAGCAGAAAATATTCTCATCTCGAGTTGTCCATACTCTATGCAAATAGAAAAACAAAGTTGAAATTGGTCACTTTCAAGAAATGTTGGATGACATACGTCCAAGATTGTTTGTTTTTCAAACTAATTGCAATTAAATGTTCCGAATTTCTTAAGAATTTCACATCTTGTATATGAGTATCTTCTATGAAGAATCTTCTCACAGGATAAATCAATGAGCAATTAGTTGTCTAAACAAAGATTCTTCGTTGTTTTCATTGTAAAATGAAAATGTAACGCTTTACTTGTTCAACTAAGGATTTCGAATTTAATTCCCACATGAGAACAATTCCATTTTCGTATCCGGCACATAGCTTGTTCGGATTTTCATGACACCAATCTAACGCTGTACATGAACCATATTCGGCACAACCAATGCTACCGTCTTTACGACGATTCAATGGTGGAACCAGTTGAGCTCCACTACTGATGGTACATAGATTTCTCGATGCACCATGAGGAACACCAAATATTAAGACAATTCCTTGACTCGTACCGATTGCTAGATAACTTAAATATGGATCATTCACAGATGGTCGATCGGGTAACCATTTCAAACATGTCACTTGACCGAAATCAGCAGCGACAGTTACGTGAAGATTAGGCACGTGTAGACTTTGTCTTAACCGGCCGCAATTAAGTATTAAAAGTAAAGTTGAACCTGGTGGAGAACGACGATCAGCATTAGCATAATTTCCGTGTAATTGATTGTTCGCATCATAGGACCATTGTTCAAGTGCGAGTGCGACATATTGACTACCGATAACATCGACACTGCGCGGTAGCCATTCAATACAACGAATAGGACGGCCAACGTTGAGGACAATAACATGCGATGCAGCAAAACTATCCAACGGATTAAGAAATCGATCGCAGGAGAGCATCTTCAGTTAGAAAAACATAGAAAAGATTTAAAAATCACGATTCTGTATGTGACCTACTCGAACACGTAAACAACTAGCACCATTACTTAGGCAAGCAGCTGACTCATTTTCAGGTATAAGTTGTCCGATGATAGTCGATGGTGCTGAAAATGGTATACGACCATTCGGTGGAAATTTGTATCTACCAAAAGCAGCACGAAAGGCTCGATCATTGATGCGACAAGGATCCTCTACAATTGCGTATAGAAAAATACATTCAATCTATATGTTTGTTTATATTACCTGGGCATATATCGTGGGAATCATCATGATAAAGTTCTAGATGATCGCACACACTGCTCACCGATGAAAATGGAATGCCACAAAATTTACAAATTGCCATAACTAAAAGAACAGATTTCGTTTCAAGAAACAGGCAAAGACTGTGAAGTTATATTACCAGGTCCTAGCGGACAATCCGTTTTCAAATGTTCTTTTAATTTTTTCAATGCTGTGAACTGTGTTTTTCCTCGACATCGATGACATTGAACGACACCTTCCGTACGTAAGCGTGTATTGATTTCTTGTTCTTGCTCAGGCAACAAAGAATCAGTAGCGAATTCGATATGCTAGGCAAACGAGAAGCAATTGCAAATCGACTTCAATCCGAAATAAAGATCTGTGTACCTCTCTCATTCTCGAACGAGCAAGTTCAGCCAATTCACTACTGATATCCACACTACGTGGCGCTGATATAGCAACATTTTTGTTTGGATCATTCTAAAGATGGAAATACGTGAAAAATCTTGCAATTTTATGATCATTGATATTCTCATTGAATTGACATTTACCATGTCATAAAACATCTCATTGACATTCAAAGGTAGAAAATATTTACTTTTATCATTTGATCGTTAAGAACAACTGGACTAGTCATGGTCGGAGTTAATGCCACACCTGCTGGATTGATTAACGGGTGTTTGACATAGTTGCCAAGGGGTGTTGCTGGCCCGTCGGAAGATTTCGTTTTCGGTGGTCGACCACGTTTACGCTAGAAGTATTCTGTGATAAACAGATTTGTTTCGTTACATTCAAACATACCTTAGGATCATTATCATTCTGATCAGATTTGATAATTGGTAATGACATATGTTGACTTAACATCGTCGGTGGAATATTGTACGTGTCGAGTGCTCGGGGTGAAACGCCTGACGTCATCGTTATCATTTGATTCATCATTTGAGGTGCTGGTGGTGTTAAATCATTGGAATTCTTCTTTTTCTTCTTCTTTTTTGAGTTCGGTGTTCCACTGGATGTTGTAGCGGCAGGTTTGCGCGAAACGTCTATTTTATCTACATTTACAGCGCTACCTTCTTCTGTACCCTGGAAAATAAAAAAAGAATAGAGTAGCTCGTTGTTCGTTTTCTTTCGTCGAAGCAAAACTTACATGTCGAGCTAAATGTGTCCGCAACGAACTTCGATCAGCTAATTCACTTCCACACATAAGACAACGAAAAAATGCTTTCGGATAAGGAGATTTCGTACATGAATTGTATAAATGATAACGTATGCCTTCTTTCGAAGCAAAATCAACTGTACAAAATGGACAAACGAAACGTCCTTCACGAAATGTTGCTTGTCGTATGACGTTAAAATGCGGCAGATCAGGATATGAGAAAAGACCAGACTGATGTCGTATATGAGACCATGCTTGTGGAATAGGAATCAATGTTAGCATATCACGATGAATTTCAGCTATATCATGTTGTGTCTTCACCGCTGTTTGTGATTGATCTTTCTGCTGCTGTTGTTGTTGTTGTTGTTGTGTTTGTTGGGATTGAGATTGATCAATATCTACTGGTGTTAGTTGAGGATCTGTATCCATTGGAACAGAAGACGAAGAAGGTACGGTAACAAGAGGTAATTGAGATGGTTGATCATCCGGAATATCTTCATCGAGTGTTTGATCGTGAGCAGTAACTTGTTGTTCGTCGTGAATTTGTTCATCAGTTGGAAGAACACCGACTGATTCATCATTCGGATTAGTATCTACAGTTGCACCACCACCTGTAGCAATTAAATGCATTAAACCACTGGAATCGATTGCATTTTGTTGCGGATGATCGTCAGTAGCCCTGAAAAATATGATTATTTTCTTTGTGTTCTTTCAAAATGTATGATTTACCATGGCCATTCGTTCGCAGTTGGCTCTTGTTGGTTCGATGATGACTGTTGTACATCAACAATTGAAGACATATGATTTGAAGGCGAATCTGGATCAGCCATTGATTTTGCTCGCCGATTTTTTTACAGCATTTGTCTTTGATCAAATTCCTAATAAATAATGGCATAATGAATCATGAAGTCGAAATAAAACGATATTAATTGATGTGTTCAATAGATTAGAACAATGTGTCTTCACTCTCTTCTTTTTCTTTTCTTTCTTTTTCTTTCTGTCGTTTTTCTTCGCACACGACTTTTCGAAAATCCAGAACAGAAGAGAGAGAGATACACATACACACATAGAAAGAGAAAGAGAAGAAAAAGACTCGTTTTTTCGCTCCTACTTTTTCTCTCGTCGTTTGGTTTGTCTGTTCGTCTTTTTCACTCTCGCACAGATGTTAAATATCTCTTTCCTGCCTCATTGGTATCTGTCATCATTACTATTAACCCATACTTCTTCGTTCTTCCTTAGAGAGGGAGCTGAGCGAAGGATTGAAAATATGATGGAAAAGAATCAATACAAACGAATACGAAAAAAAACGATATCTACTATTCGACAGTGAAAATCAGCGAACAAACCGACGAAAGATACAGAAGAAGAAAAAAAGCATGAAGAAAGGGAAGGGAAGAAGAGAAGCGCGTCAGAGTAAAAGGTTATTGTTTTGCCATTTACGTTGACATTGATACTCTTCATCAGAAATGACAAAAAAAAATTCGAAGAAAAAAACTTCTTCTTTCTCAATGAAATAAACCAATTCTTGCCGAATATAAAAAATGCCATATAAAATGCATTACTTTAGTGCATAAGTGTGTTGCATTCGCGTTGATTCATGTCGAACCAATCAGATATCGGAGATGAGTTGCTAGTCATCTAATTGAAAGTCATGTTAATAAAAAGATCGAAAATACGAAATCTAAACTTAATTCGATTGTTTACATTTCTTTTTCAGACGATATGCGTGTGCCATACGCATCATCTTCTTCTCAAACCGAACTTGTTCATCAAAACTTATGTGAATATCTCGATTCTGGCACGTATTGTGATTTAACTTTGATAGTTGGTTCTGAAAGCTTTCCATGTCATCGAATAATTCTTGCCAGTTCATCTCCATACTTCCAAGCACTTCTCACTCACACGTTCAAGGAAAACAGTCTTAGTTCGATCGAACTACATGGTATTGATTCGCAAACATTTGCAATTCTTCTTCGTTATATCTACAGTGGTAAAATCGAGCTTGATGACAAGAATGTTCAAGATTTATTCAGTGCCAGTGATATGTTTCAATTGAATGAAGTTGTTCAATTTTGTTGTCATTACTTATCAATAAGTTTAAATGAACAGAATGTCATTGATGTGTGGAAATTAGCGAATGAATTAGAATGCCTCTCTTTGAAAGCGGATGCTGAACAATATCTAATAACACATTTTCGTAATTTACTTAAACTTGATCTGATAAAATCAATACCGCGTGATTTGCTGATCACAGTCATTTCAAGTGATGATCTCATCGTTGATAGCGAACAACAAGTCTTCGAAGCGATCTTAACTTGGTATTGTAATAATCTAGATCAGCCTGTTGAACAACTACTTGATAACGTTAGATTTGGACTTATATCAAAAGAACATCAAAATATCATTCTACAACAAATTGGAATTGTATGTACTTGAACCTAGGAATTCTTTGAATCATCTTTCTTTTTAGACAAGCCCATCGACAATAGACTCCATTGAGCAGAGTATCTATCAACGCGAACGTTTATCGTGTAACACTTCCGCTCGACGTGGTGCAAAGCAAACATGTTATATATTTGGTGGTTATGGTTTGCATACCGATGACACCAATGTACATCTTTTAACATCATCCTATCGTTGCCAGCTGCATACCAGTGACAGTCCAATATCGTATACAATTGAAATTGAACAAGTTCATGGCGACGAAATGCGCTATCCGCGAATGCATCATCAAGTTGTTGCACTCGGTAGTTTAATTTATGTTGTTGGCGGCGAAGACGGTGATAATATTTTCAATTCGGTGGAAATTTTCGATCCATCGTCAAAAATCAATAGTAAACAGTGGACTCAAACAAGCTCCATGATGACTCCACGTTGCAATTTCGGTCTAGTCGCTTTAGATTCGAACACATTATATGCTTTAGGTGGCCATATTGGTGCTGATATCACATCGTCAATCGAACGATTCAATTGTAAAACTGGCGAATGGATTCTACTACCGTATCGATTACAATCAGCATGTTACGGCTTTGCTTGTGTGCATTTAAATGAGTTGATAATCTGTATAGGTGGTTCTTGTATATTTAATTTACCTGTGAAAACAACTGAAATTTTCAATACGAAAACTGGTCAGAGTTATTTATGTACCGACATGTTTGAAGCGCGTGCATTTTGTTCAGCATGTCTTGATGAAGAAAGTGGGAGAATCTTTGTTTTCGGTGGTGCAGATGCCAATGGAAATGCGTTACGTTCTGCTGAAGTTTATAATACTTCCGGTTGCCGATGGTTTCCTTTGCCGCCAATGATATTCAATCGCATTAGTCCATGTGTATATCGTGTCGGATATTTGATCATTGTTTTTGGTGGACGAACAAGTCTCGACCGACATTCCGAAATCCTGCGAACAGCTGAAATTTTTCATATAGAGAAAAATATTTGGATAAGAATCAATGATGTTCCACTTCAAGTGTACGGAGCAGCAGCGATTCTCCATTAAACTTATTGTTAATTTGTCTTTAAATGTGCCTATTTTTTTATTAGTATTTAAATATTCTAGTTTTACAGCCGAAATAAAGGGAAAGTACCGATCCTTTGTTTTAGGAACACGCGGTCTCATGAATTTCTTGCTCTATACGATGAAAAAGGAAAGTAAAAAGAATGCTAACTATCATTATTGGATATTTAGGAACTAAAAAGTTTGAAATACTCAAAGCGAGAGATTATCAAATGAAGGAGAATATTCTTGTTGTTGCGCGTACATTCACGTGTCGTGTCGAATGAAAAAAGAACAGAACAGAACAGAACAGAATAGAATAGAATAGAAAGAAGAACGCATACTTTGTTTTGACTTTGCACGATGTGGGAGCCGAGGACAGTTTTTATCGTGTCACGTCGTAGCAAATCGTTGCAAAAAGAAGCTATGACGTACGCATTGTTTCTCTCGTACTGCGTTTGTGCGTTCTTATCACAAAAAAAGAGGGCAATGTACCCACCCTCAACAGCCGTTACTATATATATGGCACGATGTGTTATGTAGCCCAAGCTGGTTTTTAGTCATCGAGAATGAAATAGTTTCTTGAATGATTAGAACGCTCTTCTACTTACTCATTCGTTTGTTTTCTTTCTTATAACGGTATGTAGATCATTCGCACGCAAAACGGAGCAATCAATTTATGGATATGTGTCCTGTTAATGAGAAAATGACCAATGGTGTATCTAAGCCAAGATCAGTAGAATCAATGACATGCCCGATATTACTAGTAAACCAATTTAAAACACGATCGTCGTCATCACCACCGCCGCCAACATCGCTTTCTGTATCTGACTCTAGTGATGAATTGAATGAATGTAATTCTCTTGCTGAAGCTCAACGCATAACGAATAAGAAATCACCAACAAGTCCATCAAAATCGATTATTCTCCCTGGTCCTGAACTTAAAAAGTCGCAATCGGTAAAACTCACAAATATATCGTTCGTCGATTTAAGTCCAAAAAAAGCTGTTCGTTTTGCTGACGATTTCGGTTTAGCTCTAGATCAGATTCGGTTGATTGAAACCGATGAATTACCACATGTTCCCAGCGGAGTCTTCAAAGATTTACAAATTTATGACTACGAAAATTCATCTAATCCCGAACGAACCAAAGTAATCAACTACATGGAACCACAATTTGAAAACCCGATTCATACTATTGATTTCCACAATCGTCTTTCACAGCAGAAGATTCTTCTGGAACAAGCGAGTAAGTCGGTCGAAGTTCGTTCTCATCTAGTAATTCGATTATAGATGCTATTGATAATCGGATCTATGGCACTGTGAAGCTGCTTTCTTGTGGTTTACATAAACATGTGAAAATTCGTTTAACAGCTGACAATTGGTTGTCTTCGAACGAGTACGATGCTGTTTATATATCAAATTCTTACGATGGCACCTATGATCGATTCGCATTCACGGTTGACATCGAACGGCAGCGAATATGTGCTGGAAACAACATTCAATTTTGTCTTTGTTATGAACCATTCGGGGGTCCGCAATATTGGGATAACAATTATCAACAGAACTATCGATTTGACTGTTTGTCAAGAACAATACCCGATTATAGTAGCTAGATGGTTGCAATCGAATGATCTACGTCACTTTTCTAATTATGTGATTCTTTTCAACGATAGAGTCTAAACCCTCTTGTTATTTTTGTTTTTCCTTTGTACAGATTCTTGCTTTCTTTAGATTTTTGAATACAATCTATAGGCTAGACAAGAAAACTTCTGTTCCTATTTTGTTCAGTATATTAAATATACAACAAGGAAAACAAAAAAGAACACAAGATTTATCAATGGTCTAGTTGGATTGTTCAATTCGTTCGATAAGTGTGTCACACAAATTTTGATTACGATGCTTATGTTTGACATTTCGAATTTCGGTAATAAAACTTTCCGATGCGCCTTGCAATTCTGTTGCGAATTGAACAATTGTATCTGAAAATATGAAAATCATCGTTAGATATCAATTCGCTCAATCATTCATTTACCAAAAACGGCATTTTGTACTTGAGTATTTTGATCATCCATATGTATTAACAACACTTTCGCAATATCTTCCAAATGCGAACGGTAAAGTTCAACATTAAAATCCCCATGGAAGGCGTGAACATATGCATTCAAGGTTGAACATACAGCAAGTCGAATATCATCATTGACATCATCTAAACGTTTGAGTAAGTCCGGATACGCTTTGTGCAATCGATCGTTATTAATCGTTCGAATAGCATCGTCATTGGAAAATAGTGCTTGAAGAACGTAACAGCTGTTCATTCGAGTCAAACGATCGTCATCATCTAACATGCCCAAAACGGAAAGAAGAATATCATTTGTCGATGATGAACACTACAGATTGAAAAGACAGAAGTTTGTTTCAAAACGATGTAAACGTTTTCTTACCTGTTGAAAACTGAATGATTTCGCTTGGAACAGTGACCAAAGAGTAGCGATCGCTGTTGCTCGAATAGCGCCAGCCGTCCGACCTGCCTTCCACTGCATATTTGGCAAAATACATTCATTGATCAGCACCATCAAATACGGTGTTATTTCCGTATTCACATCCGGCTCATCGATGAATTGAAGTAAGCTAGCAATTATCAGTAGACATTGATTGCGGACTTCAGGGTCACGCTCAGGATTCATTACTGTACGTAGTATGTCAACAATATCTTTCAGGAAATGTCGATTCGATGCGCCTGAAATTCGTATTTCTTTGTACTTATCGATTCGAGCGTGGTTTTGTTTCTTACCTGCTTGCATGATGAATGTTTCGAATATGAAACGTTCACGCGTGCTTCTTAACCAATCATTGGATGTCTGTTTCAAATCAGCGAATAACTCGTGAGCGTATGTTTTGTAGAGATCGTTAACAGAACTGCTTCCAAATGTCTTCGATGCCAAAGCATCTAATGTTTGTTTGCACTACACGAAAGAAAGACGGCGAAATAGGAAATTACATGAGCGGTACTCAATAGTATACTTGTTGTCTAAGTTCATCATTTTCAACAATCGACAAAAGACTTAGGATGCATTTGAATATACGATACGCATATGGTTCCAGTTGTTGTTGACATTTATCAACGAGAAGTTGACAGATTCGCAGAAGTTCACTTTGAACAGTTACTTGGAAATTATCAGTATATTCGGACTTGAGAATCATTGCTAATAGTTGATCTAGGATCGTTTGCGATTCAATAAGTTCTTCGCAAGTAACGCCTGTTAGAAGAGGAGAAATTAATCGAAGTAGACCTAAACTTGATGTTTGTTCAAAGTGTGGCCGAATTAGGTTAAACCAAGTTTTGATTGGCACGAAGTATCCGATATAAGTCAATGCTTGGGTCACCTAAATGTATTCATAGAAGTTATTTTTTTCGTCTATAGAATAGAAAATGATGAATGTTTTACCTGTTCGCGAACAATCGCTTCATCATCAACGATCGCTTTCGAACAAACTTGAAGTGTATCTTCTAAATGTTGAGTAATCGTTTCTTCCGCTTGCCAAACAAGAATTGCAAGTAATTGGGAAGCTTTTATCCGTCCTGAAACAACCCAATCAGTTAGATCATTACGAATAGCAGGAAGAATTCGAATCAAGTTCCGTTTAACCAATTCTCGGCAACCAAGATTCGGTCGTGTCACTGAAACAACATCAGAAATCGATACGATAGAGAACATAGATTCTGCTATTCACTTACAATTCGGTGGATATTTTGCCGGCAAACGCGGAAAGTTGATTTGATCTTTCAAATCCTCTTCATTCTCTTTTTCGTATTTCAAACCTAAACCATACTCCTGTGCAAATCATTTCAATTACTAACCTTTACTATTCAACTTACCAACATCCCACCAAAGTGAATCAGCTGCTTCGCGAATTTCTTCGATTTCATCAGTATAACCGGTTAATAGCAGTGGTAACATCATATGAAAATATGAATATCGATCACGTAATTCGAGCATCCAAATGCCGATCACATTAATGACAGCAAGACGTACGGTACTTGTATGATCGAAGAATCTTTGCGCTAATGGTGAGACACTCTCTTCAACAGATTTATTATTGCCATATCGAACAACGTTTCCTTTTAATGTAAGACAAAACCATGAATTTCATATTTAGGAATGATCAACACTTACCTAATGCATTGATGGCTTCGACACGTACCTTTGCGTGTTGATGTTTCATTGTTTCAATGATCGGTTTAACGAGACTCTCCGACATGAGATGAAACCTTTCACGACATTTTTCCGCAAGTTTCGATGTTAATTCGCAGCTAAGTTTTCGTACTTCAGGATACGGATCAATGATCGTTCGTTTCAATATTGCGACCCATTCGTTCAAATACAATGCTAATTTGCTGCTATTTGGATAAATACGACATAACTCGAAGAGAATTGAAACCGATTTCAAACGAATTTCTTCCGATGGTTCGATAATATCATTCATACCTAGCCGTTGTACCAATGCTGGCATGATGGAAGCTAACATTTTATCAATATTTGTTTCATCGGTGCAATATTTAGTGATATACATAGAAATGTATGTTAATGCAAGATCGCGATTCTTCTCAGCTGGATCGGAAAGGATTTTTAACATAGATTCCATAATGTTCGCGGGAGGTTGCAAATGATCATCGGTGTCAGTCGTTGATAGTGCGGATTTAAGGTCATTGCATAAACTCTGAAGGGCTTTCTGGCGAGTAATTTTATTCGGATCAGAAAGAAGAACAATATTTCGATTCATTTCGCTTTCAGTCAACATTTTGAAACGAAATTTATCTCTCTTAGACTTAGCGTTCGATAAAAGTGAGTTTAAACGTTGAAAAATCCGGATATAACCATGACTTCCATTCACAACTGTTTCTTTTCACTTGTCGTCATGAAAACATTCCTAACTGCATGATAGGTAGATGTCGTCTTATGACAGTTTCAAGAACGAAAATGCAATGCTTCGGAATACCGTTGAACAAATATCTCAGCACGATTGAGAGCTGTCGACATCTATTTGATCGGTTTGAAAATGATTCTGTGCTACTCTCCATTGTTATTTCATATCGAAAGTAGCGTTGAATATACCAGTTACACCTTGCTTGGCTTAAGTCATCACCCACACAAGATCAATCCTATCAAGTAAATCACTTTTTCACTTCATTTATTTGGAAAATTCCCAACGTTCTCGTACAGTAATCAGTCGACTAAACTAAATGCATCCATGTCCTAAAATCTTGAGATCTATATCAAGTCGTTCCCTTACCAGGTATCATTTTGCTAAACGTATAATTAATAACCAACTGCTCATTAACCAATTATATATTCGTGATAGAGAATTGGATGTTGCTTTAAATCAATCGCGATTTATTTCACTGCGTCGTTTAACGATACCTATCTATCCGAATCCGCAAACACTTAAAAAAACATTTTCATTGATATTAAATAACGCTCCTTTTGATGCTTGGTAAACAAGTCTACACGTGTGAATATAAATTTCTCTCTTTTTTTTTGACTCTATTTGATTAGTACGACTCCGGAAGAACATGAAATGCATGAGTTTATTCCATACACCGGTGACGAAGACGATGTAAACACGGTGCAGTTGTCTGGAATGTATATGCCAGATCATACAATTATCAATCCAAAAGTAGATGAAGAAAAGCATGCTTTTTCATCAATTGAATATCCGTTTTTTCTTATTTCTATTAGCCATTATGTACAACGACGTCATTCCCACATCGACATAATCTTTCCATGCATCGCACATTGACACATTTGAAAAATAAGATCAAACCTCATCGAGCAGTGAAAATTGATGACTATGAGAAAAATCATGGTTTTCTTGTAGTTGAAGATATTGATTCGGATCTAGTTCTACTTCCTGACGATAGTTTTGATCAACAAGCAACACAACATGCTCAACCATGTGTACAAATTAATGATCTCAAATTTGATTCTAATCAAATTCAATGTGACGCAGCGTTCACAAGTCTATATAATCTATCATCATTCGCAATGTCACAATCAATTCTAGGTGCAGCAAGAATACTTGACGGTAATTGTAAAAATCTATCGTTTCTCTAAATCTCATCTGTTGTTGCTCAAGAGAATACTGATGGATTAGACTGGCAAGCAACGCGGGCTTCGGATGAGTGTACTGCACCCGAAGCTGATCTATTAAACTTGTCCCATGTACAGTTATCTGAAGCGATAGTAACTTCACCATCTTCGACCAATTCATCGCATCATCAATATTCCGATATTGATCGTTCGTTACTCAACGATACTGAATATGGTAGATCGTAACTGTCCGAAATTACTTGAAAAATATTTGTTTTTAGTTGGAGCACAACGATTGGATTTAGAACGACTCACACTGCTTGAAGTTCGATTAGTACAAACACGACGAAACTTGGAGACAGATTTAGAGGTGAATAGAGATACGCGAACTATAGATGATATGTTTTCCATTTTTAGACTGATTTAGAATTTAACGACTTATTCAATCAAGCATTCGAAACTAATTTAAATCTCAAAAAGGAACTTCAAGAATTGAAACGTAAATTTGTCAATGCGATGGATAGTTCCTTGAAAACTCACATAATCCTTTTCTTTCAGAGGATTACGACCATATCTATTCAACATGGTCTTGTAAACAGTGTTCGTGTGATAATGAACCGTATCATATAACCCAATTGGATGTATGTTCGACTTGTGAAAGTCCCAGTCCGTTGAAAGAAGGTAGAAAATAATCGTGATTTCCAGAAGATATGTTCACGCCAAGATCTTTTCTTCATTATTTTAGCACGACTAACGAAATGAATAGACAGAATCTTCATATCTCGTGCTCGGAATAAGTTCGTTGAACCTGCGCATGAACTCTCTGTTTTAATATTTTTCAATATTTTTTCAAAAAATACATGTAATAACTACTTGTTTTAAATGACTATATTATCATTTCAGATAATCATGTCATCTGCGACGAACGATACAGCAAATCAAAACAGTGGCAAATTACCAGTACAAGAATCAATCGATTCTCCTCAGATAGGTGAGATCAGATGACATTGATGTTCTATTGTAACGAACTAATTCTTCGTGTCATACAGACAATCGAACGTTTTGGAATGACCCGGCAGGCAATCGGATTAGTTTTGAAGATGCACCGCAACTTGAGTACGACGAACACGACATCAATCTAATTGCTGATCGAGGTAACGAATCGAAATCGATGACAGTAGATACATTCTGTCTGTATGTAAAGAAGTTGATGATTATGGAATAGAGTACGGTAAGACTCAGCTCTTGGATTAACTAAACTAAAATCGTATTCGAGTGCTTTGATGATGTTTAATTTTTGCAATGGTGAAGGTATATAGTATATAACGCTTTTCTGCTACTAATCGCCATGTTGTTTGATCTGATGAGACGAAAACGATAAATTCATATTTAGATCCATCTTCCATTACCGTTGATGAGTCATCAAGAAGTCACGGAGCGTTGAAAGGACACATAACATCCGATGGAATTATTGATGATGATTTTGAGAAGGAGTTAGGATATCAAACAGAAGTTAGCTGCAGACATTTTACATTTGAATGTATACATGATTTATCTTTTGTAGATCGTTCACGACACTGAAGATCCAGATTATAGTTTAATCAAGAAAATTGCTGAATATGGTATCGTTGAATTATGCGGTGAGGATAAATTTGGTCGAAAAACGATTATCTGTTCGGCGTGCCGTTTACCACATGAAAATGTTATTCGAAACAGTGAATTTCAAACAGTAGACAAATTCTATGATTGTTTACTGAAGTAATTTGTCTGGTTACATCGAACATATTCTTATCAAAATGTTTCCCTTCGATAGATACATACTGAAGACATTTGATCAATATGCGGATATGGATTACGTGATTATCTACTTTCATTATGGCCTACATTCACATAATCGTCCGTCATATACTTGGTTACTGAGAGCTTATATGAATATAGATCGAAAGTATGATTCTGGCACGATGTTACATTGATGAGATAGGTACATCACTGTGATTTAGATACAAAAAGAATCTGAAAGCATTGTATGTTGTTCATCCCACGACTTGGATTAAATTTCTTTGGCCATTTCTTCGTTCGATTATTAGGTAGATTATGTCACACATTCATTCTCTTTCCTAAAAGTAAAATCTTTGATTTCTAGTGTAAAATTTTCCAGTAAATTGATTTATATTAAACGAATTGGTCAATTAACGGAATATGTGCATTTGGAGAATATCAAAATTCCAAATGAAGTCAAGTCGTAAGCTTAAATACTGATAAACAAAACTGTTTGTCGAACGAAATGATTTGTCGTAGTGTTGATCCACTCATTCCAATACCGATTCCACCGCAAGAGACGAAACCAACGACGAAATTTAATGTTTCACTTCAATTGTAATTTAGCTAAGGAAAAATTTCATAATCACGCTTATTCCTTTTCCTATAGCATTCTCGACCACGAACCAGGTGAAAGCATTCCACTTGTTGTCCGACAAACAGTTGATTTTGTCAAAAATTATGGTATGAACGTTTTATCTCAAAGAAACCCAAAGAAACCTCGCTCTTCTCTTCATAGGACTCAATGAACCGGGAATATTCCGTCGAGCAGCTCCTGTAACCTTAATTAAACAAATTCAAGAACGCTACAATGAGGGTAAACGTTACTCAAACGTCTCTTTTCTTCATTAATTGATTGCTTCTAGGACAACCGGTTGCGTTTCAACAGTATGGTGATGTTCATCTAGCAGCATGTGTCTTAAAAACATTCCTACGCAACTTAACAGAACCACTGCTTACCTATAAGTTGTATCCTGAACTTCTTGGTCTTTCAGGTAGTGAGTATTTTGATTAACAGTACTTATCTCTTGTGTGCAAATATTCTTATATGGCCGAATCTTCTCTTGCTTATCACGTGGTATACACTTGACGTTTGTTTTTGTTACACTTATGATATTTGAAATAATATTACTGATGATCTAAACATAAAATCTTCTGTGTACATTCTAGCATTGAAAAGACAACATCAAATCGCTGTGATTCAAGATTTAGTTATTCAAAAACTACCAAAACAAAACTATAATGTTTTAAAATATTTGATCGAATTTCTCAATTTAGTAAGATTTTCGATGCGAAGAGATCTTGATGTCATTTTTATTCTAGGTTTCGATCTACTCAGATACGAATCTGATGACTACAACGAATCTTTCGATTGTTTTTGGACCGAATCTCGCATGGTCTGATGATATTCAAATGAATACATTAGCAAATATCTCATCAATTAATGTTGTTACCGAAACATTGATTGCTCATTACACTGAACTTTTCCTCAAATAACCGAGCCATGCTAGAACGAACTGTTTTCTTCTCTTTTTTCTCAATTCTCAATATATTTTTGATCTTGTCTTTCAATTCAATAAATAAACATTTCGATTCATTATTGGTACTTAGTAATTGGAATCGTTTCAATTTAGATTGATATCTTCTTGTTCGAATATGAGCGATGAATGCAGATGAGATTCGTTTTTTATCATATTATTTAATTCCAACTGATTGGAAGATTCATCTGATTGATCCGAGAACGAATGAAACTCAACTTGAAGTATAGCATGCATACACAGAAGCAACTGATTTTGCATAAAACTTTCTATTTTTGCATTTCATTTAGCAAATCCAACAGATAATTGAAAATGCTCAACTATTCGCTTTTGACACAGGTGAGACGATCAAACATTCGAACGATCTACAAACTTGTCGCTGTCATTTAGAAACAATGCCAAGTTTCTACCATCCTAATTTTCGATCGAACTACACACGGCACTCAACACCATATCAATGCCAATCAAATTCCTGTGGTAAGTTACAGAAATGAGTGAATTTCATTCGGGCAAGGTATGTTTTAGTAAGTAAACCATCCCTTCTTCAAGTTGCTGTTCGTAGTCAAAATCCAAATATGAAAAATGTTCTCCTGTTCGATCTTCAAGAAGTGTTCGTTTGCTCAAATATGTATTTTCGAGAATGTTCAACTAGTCGTATGATCCATCATTTAATTCAATTGATATTCAATCATCCGTATGCATTCAAACTTTCTCAATCAATTTTCAATGATCTAGCGCATTTAAAATGTTCCTATGTGGAACATTGTTTTCATCAACCGAAACTTCTTCACGTCATTGAATTATCTGATCTTTACCGGAAAGTATTTCCTCAAGAAAAAGAACAGCAAATCTATAGTTTACAACGTATGACCGCAATGACATTACACTGTCAACTAGATAAAAGACAACAATGTGCAAATTGGTCAAAACGACCGCTCGGACAAGCACTGAAGGATTATGCGGCCATCGATGTCATCGTCATGATTGATATCTATGATCGATTAAAAGTGAGGATTCTACAGAATTTATCTGATGATGATAATAATCATGGATCGATATGGTCGGTTAATTGATTCAGTTTTGAATATGTTCAACAATTGAATTCATTTTCTTAGGAACGATTTTCGATCATCCATCGAAAGTTCAATTGATTTAAATGCAATAAATCTTTATCCATGTATATGTGGAGAACAGTTTATCACCACCAAATCCAGAAAGAAACATGCGCGAACATGTCTTCTGGAACAACAACGTCTCAAACAAGAAGCCAACACGGCCTCTGAAAAAAATGCGTCTACGACTAAAAAACCGGAGAATATATCGAAAGCAGATCGATCGACTTTACCTGAACTTGATTTCGATGCACCTCCACCACGTGGCCGTGGTTATCTTCCGCCAGCCTTGAAACGTGTTCATCAGTCAATGAATCAGATACCGTTCTACAATCAAGTTCGATGTTCATCATCGCTCGATGAATTCAAACGTATCAGTGAAAATCGCCCACCAGACGCACAGTTCTTTCTCGAAGATGATGATACGGAAGTTGCTCAGGCTTTTGGCCTTCAAACTACAAAGGACCCTTTCAAACGCAGACCTATTAATTCAACAACTTGTATCCCGTCAACTGCATCTTCAGTGCCTGTGTCAAAGTCAAATCTTAAAGTAGCGGCTTACCCGCCGAAAACTACTTCTAGTACTTGTAAAAAAAATAGACTACATGTGATCATCGGCGTACCCATTCTTTTGTTTGTTTAGTCTCATCCAATCTTGGACGAACCTATGTTAATGAAGATGATCTTCTCGATCGTTTACGGGATGATTTTGATAGTCAACCTGACTTTCATTGTCATTTGTTCGGTTTGGGTGGCCGTGGTCGACCATTATTATCGACACATCGATCGCCACCTGATCCATCGATCCATTCACTGGAACATTCCACTCAATTTTGTGATAACTGAAGTCAATTGAATTATTTTATATATTATTTCCTCGTTTTCCTTTTTTTTTGTTTGTTGTGAGATGAAAAGTGGATTACACAACGTGTATAGTTTCATTTTGGATTTCTCTGACATTGTTGTTGGTTATCTTTGATAAAAATACCTCGAATATGAACATTGACCTTCTCGAACAAACGAAAGTTAAAAGACGCGTTGTTCGACCGATTCCTTTTTTTTCTTCTCTTTATTCTATTTTCGACACTGACAAGACTTCATCAAACATTACCCAAAGAAAAGAAGTGTTATGAAAGGATGACAAGTATGTTATTGTTTAACTGTTAAATGCATTTTTATAAGGAGAAAAAGAACGGACACATTGTATTAATAAAAAAACATAGTTACAAAGAAAAATCATTCGTTTTCTTTTCTGTACCATCATTCTTTTTCATTCATCCTTTGATTAAAGTCGAAAATATGTATCAAAGAGGTCAACATGGCGACTATGGAAACTATCCGTACATCCCACCGACGGATCCGATGACATCATTAAATCCTATGAGTTCAGTCGGTTCTATGTCAAATGCAAGAACCAATTTCCAATATCAATCACCAGTATTGCAACAAATGCAACAGCAACTATCAGTACCACAGTCAGTGCCACAATCACGCATAACCCCGAGTTATTATGCAACCACATCACTGATTCCAACGTATACTTCCGAATGTTTTCAACGCTTCTATCAGCCAACGACAACATTGAACGATTTAGCTGATCCCGGCTGGGTGTTTGATGATGTAGCACCACCTGTCAATTATCAGAACAATATCACTGCTGTCACAGAAGGATATGCACCAGCAAATCCAGTAAGACGATCGACAGTGAGCGAAACACGTTTGGCAACTGCAAGTTCCATGCGTGAACAATTATTAACAGATATTCTTCGTGATATGGGCGACATCAACGAAGAAATCAGTTCCATGGAAGGACAATTAAACAAATCTCGTCAAAGACCATTCGGTTTTACACCGATGATCGACAGAGATCCACCTAATCCAGACGCTGAATTGGAGCCAACACAATATCTGTCCGAACCAATTGTATTTCCCAAGCCTATGGAAAATGGCTCGACTTGGAGTTAGAATTCGAATGTGTATCTACTATTTATAATGACTGAATGGATATCTCTTAAAATAAAAATAAAAGAAAGAAAAGTCAGCCGTTTGAAATTTTCTTTGTTGCAAACTCTTGTCGATTTCAAGGACAAATCCTCAATACACTTTTATTTCAACTCGACAAGTCGTCGTGTACGATGAATTGTCTATTCTCAATTGTCTTGTTGAGTATTTAAGAATAAACAATCTTGAAATTCATCTTATGATTACACCAAAACGATATTTTACAATAGTGTCTCCCACTTCGAAGGACATGTCATACTCATTCGGTTCGTTGTATCCTGACCGAAACGATCCTTCTAGTCACAAGAAACACCCTTCTCAAGGATATAAAGAGTATTTGTTAACGTCGAATTCTATACACTTGAAAAAATATTTCGAAGTGCTTTATTTTTCGATCACCGGACGAAAAATTCCTCTAAATATTCAAACTTTGAAATGTTTTCTATTCGTATCCATTCGCACACCGAATGTGCAATGTCCGTACACAACAAATCAACCTCCTGATGCCTTAGAACGCATCATACGATGTAATGTTCGATTCTTTTTGTCTTTTATATCGTTAAAATCCTACATATGCATTAGCTAAAAAACAATCGAAAGAAAAGTGCCGTAAAAGGACGATAAGTATGTCATTGTTTAGTTATTAAATGTATTTCAGTGAACGAAAAAGAACAAAAAAGAGAAAAATGAAGACATACATTTAACATATACAAACATAGTTAAAGACAGAATCAATCATTTTTTTCTCTTTCTTTTCACTTTAAACATCAATTCGAAATAAAAAAAAAACGAAGAAACGATGCATCGAAAGAGTATAAGTACTGACTATAGAAACTATCCTTATGTACCGCCAATTTATACGCCACCTTCGCGACCATCTCGTCAAAACTACGATCCGATACAACATACAGAACAAGTACTCTATTCTCATTCGACACTGAGTTCAGCTGATTCTCAACGTCAAATTCAACCCTTGCCAGCGATTCCTGACGCATCCGATCCGTTGACAGTTTTCGATGATCGACAACCACGTGCACGTCTTCGATCAAATACGAGCTCGCTCTCCTCAGGATATATTCCACCGAACCCTTTACAACGTTCGTCCGTAAGTGATGCACGTCTTGCAACGGCCAATGCTATGCGCGAACGATTATTAACCGACATTCAAGATAATATCATGGAAATCGAACGAGAACTTTCGACATTGGAAGTACGACCAACAATCGCGAATTACATTCCATCGCATTATTCGGCCACAAGTCAGAAAAGTGTACAACCGAAACGTAGTCATCATCACATTTGTAAAAATTGTCAAACAAGTATTGACGAACGATCCGATTCATCGATTGAAGAAGAAGAATCTGAGAAACGACGTAAATCTAAGAAAAAAGTCTATGAAGTTATTCCGAAGACAGCCAGTCCAGCGGAAAAAACGTTAAAACGTTCGACAACGAAACTAATTGAGCCGCAGGCCTACATCGGTCAATACCATTACGGAGCTGAGATTGGTGAAAGTGAAATAACAGGCGATGCACCGGAAAATGTCACATTCGAGTCTATAATCGAACAGATTCCTGAATTCAAATACGAAGCATTATCAACCGAACAATTTCTTCATACCCAACCACCTTTACCGTTGAATCGTGCATTGATCTTTGCTGTAATGTATGGTGATAAAGAGAACGTGGGCGATAATGAAGTTGCCGACGACTTTCGTCGAAAGAAACCAACGACAACGAAAGCTGAAGAATTGCTCGTTGCTCCTCTATCTGATATCGAATCTGCAGATAAAATAACTACACAAAACTTTGAAGCATTGATTAAAACTGCACCTGAACCACCAAACATTGGCGAACCGCCGGATCCATCCGAGCTAAATGAGGATGAAATCATGCGAACTATGTTTTCCAAACCATTGAAACACAATCGTCTTTCCACAAGAACTTCAGAATCATTGTCGGGTGCACAAGCAGGACATAAAAGCTCGGATAAGAATGGTCCGAATGGTAAAGGCTATTTTTTTAGTGATTTTGGAAACGAAGGTGATGTTGAAGGCGAAGAAGATCTTATTTCTCTTGATCTCAGTAATTTCGCAGTGCCAGTCTCGTCCGAAATGGTATCCGATGAAAACGCACTAGGACGGCCGTTTGCAACATCTTTACAGAATCCTCATGGTAATCAACAAACTATCCAAAACGAACACGATAGAGGTGCCGAAAAGAAGAAGCACGGTGCGGACAATACAGATAATCTGAACAATTCCTCTACACAGCAAATGCTATCGAATTCAGCAACTGATATATCTAAAGGCCAATCAACCAAGCCGAATGAATATGGACTTAATAATCGACGTGTATCACGAAAAATGTCGACTGTGAACACAACGGCACCGTTACCTAAATCGACAAAATCATCGTTTCATTTTGATTCATCGTTAATTGCATTAGAACATAAAGAACTAACTAAACCGCCAGCCAATCCACCTGAAAAACGGCCTGTTTCAGGTAGTAAACAATCTCGTTTGGTTCGACAACGGTCATCTTCTCTTCGGCAAGATTCCAAAATTCCTCAACCGAGTACTGTCGCTCGTCAACAATCTATTCTTTCTCCGGAAGCAAATACTAGGCAAGGGAAGCCTGGAGCACGGCGTACTTCAGTACTTCCTGTTCCACTCAATCAACTTGAACGTCCTAAAGATCGAATTTCAACATCAAGAAGTACAACACCCGAAAGAAGAAATTCCATTCCTGTGCTCGATCAAAATGTTCTCTTTTCTTTACTTGATATGGTCGACTTAGATGAGCCATCCGTAATCATCGAAATAGATTCTAAGCCAAATGAAGAATCGTCGCATGATACACTTAGAGATCAAACTTTGTCGATGAACGAAGAAGAGGATGCTCGTTGGAAAGCAATTTCATCAGTCGTTATTCAATCGGATCATTCCTTGCACGAAGATTTGTATTTGCCTGATCTATTCGATACAAACATTGTATCTACAGAAGATAAAGATACATACCAGGGATCGACAACTTCGGTTTCGACTACGAATCAATTAAATTACAAAAATCATTCGTCACATCTGCATGTATGTCATGTTTTTTCTTGTTTGTGAATAAAACCATTCTTATCAAACATTTCATGATGTTATAGACGAATGATTTGACATCGATGGAGAATCATCAATCATCAGAACAACAATTTTGTGTTGTATTTTGCAATAATCTTTCTCATCTTCCAGTAAATCAAATACCCAACTGGAGTGATCGTCTAAGTACTTTCACTACCGATAAAGTTCGCTTGACTGGTCATTTGTTGCTAATATGTACAAAACCTTTCATTTCTAGAAGTTACTTTCTGATAAGTACGCATTTTTGAGACAAAATGTCAACTTATCCGATGCTTCGGACTATCTAACTGATAAAATTGAAAAGAGTACAGACACACAAGTCGTATCCGAACAAGTGCCATCCGTAAGAATGACTACGCTCAAATGAAAATCATTGTGCAAAATTATTTTTTCAGATGTTACTCGGTCAACGAAGAAGTTCACTTCATGACAAAAGTCAGTCATACTCATTCGATCAATCGAATTCCCAAGTAAAACATTATTCAGTAACTTTCTTGTTGTTATCAATATCAAAATATTTCAGATTTGTTATACTAACCCGAAATGGCATAGTGTATCGAATCTATCGAAAACTACTTCAGGTCAGCAGACAAATACGCTGTATGATCTTTCAGACATCAATTCACGTCAACAAGATTGTGAGGTATATCAAAGGAACATTTTTTCATTCATCTGTATGTTTTCAATGCAATCGAAGATTCCTCATCCAACAGCTCGTCGATACACTGAACCTGATGTGCGTGGCGCTTTCCTTTCAAATGAAAATCTTCGAAGAAAATTGACGTCTTCATCCGAACTCGATCGTCGACAAGGAACAGAAGAGAAAACATGTTCATCTGTATGAGATAAATTTACTCCCACATCTCACAAATGATGATATATAACTTTAGGAACAATATGATGGCTTCGAATCGAACACATTGACGGATATAACATTGAGTGATTATTCGACAATTTTCTTAACACAAAATTCGAAATTAAACAAAGAAAATTTTAATGACAAATATTCCGCTGAGGTAAGAATGACGGTTGCTATGTAGAATGAATGATTCTCTTCTTCTTTCATTTTACACCTGTTACTTTTCGCTTTAATCAACAACAATAAAGCAAAATGAAGGACTTGAAAAGAAGAGAAAAGAGTGCGAGTATATTTATATGGTGTGAACATTGAGGGAAAGAGAAGAAGAGAAAATTCTGACAAGTAAAAACTGAGCTCTTGAATGCATAAAAGTGTGATGTGAATAAAGACATACATTTCATTGTTGTTGACGACTTTAACTTCTTTTTTTTTCTCTTTCTCTGTAATTTTTCAACATCGATTGTCTCTTTTCCTTCCATGCAATGTTTACACGACGATAAGAACGAAAAGGAAAAGAAATCATCTTCTTCATCGAAATCTTTTTCTTCGTCGGGAAACCTTAAATTGACAAATAGTCGATTTTCGTATACAAGTGATTATGTCAAAAACTGAGACACTAGACGTTTCTTTATGATTATAATTGTTTAGAAACTTTGTTTCTCTTTTCTCATTCACATTAATAATAAAAAACTTTGCGAGTGTGTTAGAAAAATGCACTCTGATCTTCATCTTTCCAATGTTCCATTATCTCAGTTTCGCCGCGTGAATGTAGGTTATGCATTGTTTACGTATGATTGATTTCATGCTTTTGTTTTCTTTGTTTAGACACCGCCGAATCGACCGAAATGGAATTCAGTCAGTAAAACACGTAGTGTTAATTTCATCTACAATCCTAAAGTACCGAATTCCAATTCGGTAAGTCTGTTCAATATGAACTTGAAATATGAAAATACATATGCTAAGTTTAGATTCGAAAGGGATGGGATTACGAACTGCGAAGGAAACGTGTGCATAAGGTTGGAAAATATTCGATGTCCTTTTTCTACAATACAATGTTTTTTTGTGTGTTATAGTTACCACCACTTGAACATTCGAGAGACCAACATGAACATTCTCAACTCGCTATCGAAGCACCACCATTTAATGGTCGATTAGCCATCGATTATAATTATGACAACTCAGTGGTAATGAGCATATTTTCAATGGAAAACTATTTAATAAAGCCGTTGTTACTATTTAGCACGAACGGTCCAATCGAACAACACCCTCAAGTCGACAACTTGTTTCAATCAATCGTTTCGCAGAACTTCAAGTAAGTAACATTGAATTGTATATTAAAATTATAAGTAATTATAAGTTTATCTTTACTAGTTAGTCTCCGAGTCTCCTCGATCACAACGGCCTGTTCATCAAGAATGGTATAATGATATGAATAGATCACAAGTAAAAACACTTGTCTCTTCTTCTCATACAAAATTACTTACTTTTTATTAATAGAGAACGGATATGGAACAAACGACAAACGCTTCTACTCGCCAGAAAAGCACGTCAAGAGAATTTGTGCCATTAGTAAATGAACTTCAACTAAAAGAATGGTTATCAATATGTGCGCTTCTTTTAGCATCCATTAAATCACAATAGTCTACACAATGGTACTTTACTTGATCCTTCTATTCGAACAAATCGAGCAACCGAGCTCCGATTATCAAGAGATATGGATGAACATCATCATCACGCACATGATGTGAATCAATCGATGCCATTTGAGATTCGAGGTTTTCAGGTTAAAGGCATGCAACTAACTACACCGGATGACGCAAAGATACGACCATTATTAAATGTAAATTATCGAGCAAGTGAACGCGTGAAAACGCGTCGTATCTATCCATTAGGGCATCCATTTCAAGAAAATCTCGCAGGTCGACGTAATTCTCTTTTGCCTATTGAAGAATTTCGACAGTCATCATTCTCAACGTCTATTGTTGATCTACCACAATCAGTTCATGAAGAGTAATCAAAAATTTCTCAATTGAAGTTATTGTTTTGTAAAAAAAAAGTTACTTTTTTCTCCTTTCTTTTTCATATTGCAAAATAAAATGAGATATACTCCTTTTTTTTGTACAACTAAAAACGCCGTTTCAGAAAGAAGCATGTAATTACATCCAAATCGTCTTCTGTCTTTTACAGAATATTTGTACGATGAAATTTAGAAAATCTTCTAATTAACCAATTGAAAGATTTCAATCCGTCTCTATTGCTATGGATGGATTTACTTGGAGACAAGAAAGATTCAACATGAACGAAGAGAGAGAGAGAGAAGAAGTCTTTTATGATTGCTTGTTCGTATCGTAAATAAAATATCTACAGATCAATTTCCGGATGTTTCAATTCGATATTCGGAAAACACGAAAATTTGAAAAAAAATTAACTAAAACTAATCGAATTTATTTTGAAAATGATGCAATGATTCTTGTCGAATCTAATTCATCGAGATTTTACCTACAGATCAATCATGTACAAAGTATTTTACAATTTATTTTTCTTTTGCAAAGCACCAGAATCGATCAAATACAAATCCTTTTGCTAAAAGTTGGTGGAGAATTTATTTCATCGAATTCGAAGGAATGTTTTTAGAAACAACAAAAAAGATAGATGTTTGATGTAGCGACTGCTTTTTTTATCAACATATGAACTATTTGTGAACAAGATGGGTATCTCATCGTTTCTTAGATTGCATGTAAGCATCTTGCGGAGAAAATATATGAAAAATTTGCTACATTGATAATATTGTTTCATAGATTGTGTGTGTCATCTCACCATCGATGTTCGTCTCATTTGCACTGATCAACATGAGCATAATTATCATAAATACGTCGTCTACAATGAAAGAACATGAACATTCACATCAACAACAACAGCAGCAGCAACATCCCCGGTTTCATAACTTAATTTGTTACAATAAAACAATCGAGCGTGTTGATGAAAAGTATGTGCTTAATTAAACTAGCGAATGAAATTGATGAAGAATGTTGTAATACTAAAAGTAGCATTGATAATGCAAAAGTTAATGAATGTTTGATCAGCTAACTGGTGATAAAATAACCATTGGACACTATAAACATTACTTCATACGCATACGAATGTTTATATCAAACAATGAGTTTCTCTGTTCCAATAAACAGATTGATATTCATCAATTGAAATGTTAATAACTACCAGAGAGTCTTCGCACTAAGTAATTGGAACTATTTCTAGAATGAATTTTATTCTAAATGAACACTGAACAAGACGATCATTGGAAAGAACACAGTTGATCAAATTGATTTCGCATTTACAAGGTTTGTTGATTTAACAGAGAACTTGCATGATTTGTATACGACGGTCATTGTATTCATATTTTAATCTTTTCAAATGTAACATCGGCATTGATCTCGATGGAAGTCATCAAAAGAAAGAGCAATATTCAACAAACTTTGATTTTTTCTCAAAATCATCAACCATCGTCAGATCTTGTGAAAACTGTGAATACCTTGAAATATGTTTCTTCACTTTTTACACACTTCTAATCATAGTATGGAAAAGAAAATAACAAACCAATTGCACTGACGACACTAGGATTCTCGTTCTGGATGGACTCGACCATGCAGATCTTGTACTTTCATAAGATAAAGATTAGCTATCTACAAAACTTCTTAAAACATCAGCTGTGCTTCACCTTCTGTACTTTATTTCCGATGCCATCACTATTCACTGTGTTCACATCGAAATTTTTTGTAAACGTTTGGTGTTTGTGAAAGAAATTGCCATATAACATATTCTTCCAATGAATCTTCATGGACTAGTATGTGATATATTAATGTTTATTTGGAAGAACAATTACTTAATTAACATGTTGAGTTTTCTACCCGAACAAATAAACAAAAGATACAAAAATCATGTAATTGACTTTCATCGGTTACTAGATAATAATTTCTTCGTTATGTCGGCGAAATGAAGATAAAAGTCTCTTATAAATTCAGCATTCCACGCAGTTAAGAAATCACTTTTCTCTTGAATATCATTCGTCTAAAATAGAAAATCAATTTCCTAAAAATTGTCTATTTCTTTTCAAATCATTGGTTAAAATAATCATTAATGACAAACTCGAATAATTCTGAGTGTTACCTGAATTGCCTTTGGACAAGACCAGTTCTTCTTGTAACATATGTACAGATAGTAAAGTTGCAAAACCAATGGGTATAAACCCACAAGCAGAAATAGAACAACAAAGCAAATACTTAGGAAGATACACCAGAATGGATTTGTATCGCAGTGCTTGTATGAAAATGAAACAAATCTATTGATATTTATGTTCAGTTGTGAGAATCAATAAACTAAATTTTTTCATACAAGGAATAAGTCATTTTTAGAAAATGATGTTTATTCATACTGTCGACGTGCGACCCCTTGTTGTCCATTGGTGATATGCAATAATCAATAAAATTACAATTTCAATATTTCACATGCACCGCTAGCAGATAGACCGTAGATTAAACCATGTTTGATTTAGGTTATTTCTTTCGTGCATCATCATTATTTTGGCGATCAAAATCAGGTGGAAAAGTGAAACACTTACTCGATGAATCGATCATTAAAGGTCGTTGTTGGACAACTGATCTTGATACTAACTGGCACATGAACAATGCGAGATACTTACGGCAATGCGATTTTGGTCGAATTACCCTGCTATTAGAAAACGGTTTATGGGATGCTGTTTTAGCTAGAAGAAAAACTGGCATGAAAGATGCAACTGTTCTAGTTAGTGCATTACAAACTCAATATCGTCAAAGTGTACAGTTAGGCGATCGATATGACATTCGCACAAGAATTCACGGATGGGACGATAAAGCATTCTATTTAGAACAAGTGATAGTATTTGATAAGAATCAAAAGATTGCTTTTCTCATGCTAATTCGCTTGGGATTAGTTCCACGATCTCTTACACCGCAAATGTTAGTTGACGATCTCAATCTTGGAGTCAAGCAATCACCACCATTTTCACCATCTGTGAAAGCTTTTCAGGAAAATTATCAATTAAGTTATCCGATAATGAAACAATAAATTGCTTTTTTTACGTGAATATATGAAAGTGTCCAGATTTTAGTTTTTATCTGATTCGTAGACGTATTCATTGAAGGATTAATAAAGCTTTTGACATACGTTTATTAGCGACATCTCTTTTCACACTACTCATGATTGGTCCTTAAACAAACCCTTGTTAGTTATTTGTTTATTCTCCACTGTCTCATTTCCTTTCATTGCTGCGCTCAATGAGATAGTAGTAAAATAATTCGGAAACTATTGTTATGAGTGAAAGATCATTGCGTCGTCTGGAATTCGATCGTGAAAATACTTTCTATGAACTTCTTTGCTCGTCTAATGATATATCGATAATTCAATCAAGCCAAACGAGTGATCCAGCATGGATGATGGCACTCGGTCGATATTTGAAGAAAATTCGAGTTGATTCTCATCCAATCAGTTCGAATTGTCTTCTTTATCAGTCAATCGAACGTATTTTAAATGAAAATCATCTTATTACTCGTTCATTACTCTTAATCTTAAAACAATGTGTTTACCTTTATCCAGACAAACTTGTTAATCTATCTTTTCAACGTTATTTATCACAAGCTCTATTAACTCTCAAAGATCCTTATCTAAAATATAAATATGTTCGTCTTCTTCGTTTAATCATTGCTGACATTGACGAACACGATTTACGAAAAGTTCTTCCATCGACTAACGATATTTTAGACAATTATCATCAGATGGATAGTTCAATCATGATCGTGTTAGAAAATCGAGTTTTAACGACGGGTGATAATCAACTCCAATCTCGATTGAATGAATTGTATCAACGAACACTTCTCGAATATTTCAAATCGAATGATTTCGACGATGACGAACTAATTGACCTTTGTCAAATCTTATTTCAAATTAATCGAAATATGTCTCTTCAATGTTTATTTACCATTCCAAATCTTTTCAATGATCTATTACACTATATTGATTATGACGTTGATACAATGTTGAATTGGCTGCTAACTCCTGAAACTGGAGAAAAATTTCTCATATTTATCCTTCGTTTGATTAAATATTTCGCAGCTAATCGTGATGAGTTCAAATCTCAAATAGAGAATGAAAATTACAATCAATTATTAACAACGATGAAACAGTTTCATGAACAACTAAAAAATGCTCATGAAAAATCTCTATTTCCTTATAATATCAAACCATTACTAAACGCCTTCAGTCTATTGTAGATATGGGACGTGTATTTTTAGAACATCTCGGCGGACAACGCATCTTTTCGTGTGCTCATTGTGATACACCATTAACAAATCGCAATGAATTAGTTTCAACACGATTCACAGGTGCAACTGGCCGAGCATTCCTTTTCAGTCGGGTTGTAAATACCAAACAAAGTGCTGTACAGGAGCGAGTAAAGTTCAATGGCATTACTTTTGGATTTCTGAAACTTTTGCATGTAATTCATTCTCATTAGATGATGCTGACAGGTCGACATTTCGTACGAGATGTATGTTGTAAGAAATGCGATGCTAAACTCGGCTGGATGTACGAATTTGCCACGGAAGAATCTCAACGTTACAAAGAAGGACGAGTTATTCTCGAACGTGCATTGATTAATGAAAGTGATGGCTTTTGAGCACGTGAACATTTTAGTTTTTGATTTTGTAGATGAAAAAAAGAGACATTTCAGTGCGAGTAAAACTTTGTCTATTTCAGATTGAATATAATTTGATTAATTTGAGATGTAATGGTCGGAATTCACGATAAACTGAAAGTTGAAATTGTTGAAAATAACAATGAAGTAAGACAATACATTTTCAGAAAAAGTATCTTATCCATTTGATGTTTTGTTCTAAGGTTCTTCCAATACTAATTCGTGATATTGGCGTTAATTTCAAAGAAGGCGAAGACATTGCGCTAGTACGATTTGATAGTTATGCAGATTTATTAACGCCAAAGAAGGTCAAAGCGGATGAAATTCAAACATTGGATCATCTTGTCGAGTATGTCGAATGAATTTCTCTTTGATATTAAACGAGAATTTCGTGTGTATAGGGCAATTAATAATCAATGTTGGATTCTTCCAGCTGTTTATCGGGGTTATATAACGAAAATATTTTGGTTCAAGCCACCATGGGCACATCAGTTTCAAGATGGCAAATACCAATTACAAGTTGGCAAATGCCAAGAGACAGGAGTATTGAAGTAAGTTCGTGTGTTCTATATACAGAAATAAATGTTATCTATATTCTTGTAGAGTTTGTTCAACCAATGCCTATTTTACATCGAATTGCGTTTATTCATCAAGTGACAAATTGACGAATATTCATAAGGTTGATGTGTATGTTTCAACAGCTGGTTTGGCAAAGAATTATTCGACAACAATTGAGAAATCTCATACGCCTATCTATGATCATGATAGTGGCAGTGAAAGTCTCGATGCTGATAATCAGAAAAAGAGTAAATTATCTTCGAATGATCTCAATCACAAAGGTGATTCAGGCAAACGTCGTGTTTATGCACTTGATGCAACATTAATTGATCAATTGCTGGAAACGAGACAATTTCTCATCGATATCGATCTCTCATTTTTCTCCACTGACGATTATATACGCAAACTATTTGACGAGAATGAATACGAAATTCTTCGTTATGTCTACACACGTATTGTGCATGACCATTCGGATATTGAAATTCAACGTTATATGGCAGCGCGTGAAAATGCTCTGGAACAAATTCATACATTAATGCAAGAATATCTAACTAATCCAAGATTAGATCAACCGATCATTATCGAGTAACGTGATCAACTTGTTTTGAGAAAAAAATAATCAGTTTGTTTATTGTAGAAATCCATATCTATCGGCATTGATTAGTATTATTCGATATAAGAAACTAGATTGGCGAGCCGTTCATAATTACGGTATGCATTTGGCCGATACAAGACCACCATTGCACGTGTCTTCGGAAGAAATGATTATTTATTTGACGGAAGCGATGGCGAAAATTTTACAATCAGTCAAAAAAGATCCGATTCTTGTGACAATCTCCAGGTAAAAGAGAAGGCTTCGAGAAATATAACGCTTAATTTTCGTTGTAGATGTGTTGACGATGGTTATTGTTCTTCAGAACAAGCCGATTTAATTCAGCAATATGTAGAGAAAAAAATTCATCTTTTATACAAAATCGATGAAACCATTGGTAAAAGTTTATTGACGAGCGATGAGTACGATGCAGAGAAAAGCAAAGATCGACGATCGATGATTATTTCTGATGATGACAATAGTTCATCTCCACCACTACCACCACCACCCAATGGTTTGGCCAATCGGGTGCCTCATATCAATGACAAACCTCTTACCAATGAAATCACCAATTCGAAACATCTTGCTTTCAAAAAAGATATGGATCGCGATCTATCGCCACCCTTAAATACGGACAATAGACTTTCGCCATCACCGTCTGCTCCATCTCCTTCCCGAGGACATCTTTCACCAGGCGAAATAACTAAAGCAATGTCACCATCATCACTTTCGGAAGCATCTCCTATCTTAGATTAATATATGTGTTTTTCTTTTTTGTATATATATATTTACATATTGTATTATTAGATGTGCAAAATCGAATTTTAAAAATTCGTATCTAACTCTCAATGTACGTGCATTAATCTCATGTTGTTTGTATTTCAATGTTAAGTCAAGAGAAAATTTGTGTTTGTTTTTTTGTAGTTATGCTTTCCTTGTTTGAATGATATACTTTATTAGACATTTTGGTTTGTAAATATAAAATATTTGGTGTGGTCAAACAATCTTCTTTTTCTCTTTTACTGACATGAAGACAACAGATGATATTCTAGTCCTCGTTTTAGATAACATGTTTATTCCGGGTGAAGGCAGTTCGGCAGCTCGTCGAGCCGGTGCAGCTCGTGCGAATACATCACCATCCAAGTGGGATTATGTGAAAACTTTCTACTATAATCAAGCTAAATGGGATGTGGTTAAAAGCGTTGCTTTCTTTGGCGTTGCCGTTTATCTAATACGCGACCTAGCAGGAAATGATTTACTCCCAATGGAATAGAGACATTATTTGTTTTTATTTCAAATAAATATTCACAGAAAAGGAAACAAGAATCTAACTGTTACTAACAATTGGTCTATCCGTTGGAATGACTCCGTAGTAGTTTGCATGGGATAATGGGCAACCATCTCCAGTCGGTCCACCAGTACCCCACCAAGTTGGAAACTCTATTCTATTATTTTGTAAAGCGAAAAATATAATTAGAATACCAATTGCAACTCCACAGTCCATCGCTGCAGAAAAGACATAAGCATAACGTGTCCACCATGTACGTGCATAACGAGCGAGGATAAAGTTAAAAATAAAACCAACTAATAACCATGAAGGAAAGTTACCAGGTGGAGCAGGAGGCATAATTGCTGTAGCTGATAACATAATCGGAAAATGAATATGTTTGAGCCACTTAATATGAGGAAATTTTTTCATTAATAACCAGACAGGAACGGGAAGAATGGCGCCAATGAGAAACCCATATAAAAGAGATGAGTAAGTTGATCCAGGTCCAAACATCTTCACCGGACCTAAGAGAAGCGATTACTTCAACTAAATTCATTTACAATTTCTACTTACCGATCGCTCCCCAAATAATCGATGCACTAAAGAATGTGTTTGCACCAGGACATGTCCATTGTGGATTCTCTGGCGTACATATATGTGGTACAGAACGGAGCAGATAATCAGCAGTAACGAAATTGACCACACCAGCAATAATCGTACCAAGTAGTTGTGTAATAAACATAGCACGAGGAGGAATCTTGATGAGAATTTATTTAATGAAATGGAAGAAATTTTTCAAAAAAGAACAACAAACTTTGAATTCTTACTTTCATATAATGACCTAATTTCAAATCTGAAATAAGTAGTAATGCTTGATTCTGGCTGATATATCCATACGTTTTAAATGTTACATTAGCTAGTGGATCACCAGGTATGGCAACACCAGCAATGAACTCGGTTATTACATTGAGTCCTACACAGACGAATTCGAGTAATCATATGAATTCTGTAATATATAATAGAAATCTTTTCATACCTATAGCTTGATTTGTTACGGCCGCAACAATACCAGTTGGTAAAAGAAAGAAAAAGGCAGTAGCGACAGCAACTACAGTAAAACAATCGTTCCCAACACGCTGGAAATATATTTCATATCTATATTTACCGAAGAGAAAGTACCATGGCATTAATTCTCCAAAATGACAAACAATGGCAGCTAAGACAAATGCTAGGAGAAATAGAATTGTGTACCACCATTCCGGTGCTTCTTTGTAGCGAGACATTAATTTCGCATGGATATCTCCAGCATTGTCTTTTAACGATGATCGAAATTGTTTGACGATTGTCTTGCCTTTTTTGCAAATACATCATCATTCGTATGAGAAAAATTGAGTAGTGTTCATTACCTTCATAAAGTACTGTATGTACAATGACTGCTGCTATGGCAGCAAATGAGATTCCATAAGCGAACGCAAAGATCGGTGTCATTCGAATTTCACCTACGAATTTCTAAGTCAAATCAACGAAAAAGAAAACAAATATATCCAACCATATTGTTCATAAGCAGTTTCATTCAAACGTAAGTCAAGCTTTAACACAGCTGTGATATTGTAGATGTATCCATCAGTGCTGAATACTCGTTGACTAAAGATAGGCAAAACTTTTGCATTCCAGAGATTAGAATAGTAAGATGCTGGTGCTATGATCCATGCTAGAATAACAAATCCAACGAGAATATTCATCTGTGCCCTAAAGATTGAGAATAAAATAAAATAACTGCTGTGCATATTCTAATTTGACTATTACCAAAAAGGTACAATAATCGGTGAACCAAGAAATGACACCCATGCATTCCAATCTAATTCGATTGAACCAATACCAAGACCATTGATACCTGTCAATTGTGATAGAATAATACTGTCGGGCTTGATCATGCATATCCACGAAAAAAGCGATAGAACGGGAAAGATGTACCCGGGAAGCCAATAGTAAAGAAATTGACAAAAAAATGCGATGAAAAAGAATCGCAAACGTGATATTTTCCAGCGTGATTTGTCGTCTTCCGTTTTTTCTTCATTTTTATCTTCTTTGTGTAATGTTTGAAAAAGTGCACAATTCACAAGATTAGCTGGCCAAATCATCGCTGCTGGCCACACCAGAAATTTTCTCATTATACCTGCCATTCCATATCCTATAATCTGTGAAGTGACTACAAATATGATACCGAAACCTGGATGAATCACTCGTTTGTAAAACAGTCGTTGAATGGTAACAACATCAATAGCATAGGCCGTACCCTATGATAGTCAATAATGGGAAAACAAATGCAATGCTTCATATCAGAACACACTGGAAACTTACAACTCCCGTGCTAGCCATGGTTGTAATGATACAATGTTCTTTGACAGTGAATGGACCAGGATTGAGACTGAAGGTCCATCGAAAAATTTTGATGTTTTTCTTCGGTAAAATCTTTTCGAGAGCTTTGCCAGCCAGATGTGAAAGTAATTGAGCAACAAGTACACCGATGACTAAGGGTGACGTTCGATACCAGAAAAACTGATTCACAAACGCAATGGCCGCTGTAAATGCAATGCCAAGAAACCACGAACGAAACGTTAGAGCAGGAATCGATGGATCATCTTTATTGGATACATTTGCAGCTACTTCTTCGTACGGTGATTGTTCATTGTCATTAATTCCCAATGTTGCAGCTGAGTCCTGTCGTTGATCGACTTCAACTGCGATACTATCACGTCGAAAGGCTACACGGACATTATCAGGATCGATGGAGACTGTCTCCTCTAGCGAATTATCAGCTGCAAAAGATTGATTGTCTTGACCATGTTTACTTTTGTTTTCTTCCTCTTTGGATTCTCTTGGAGAAGAATTCGTCATTATTCGATTGAATAACTCGATCGATCTAGATTATAAACGCGTGTACCTTCTCACGTAGTTATGCATGATTAACAACGAACGAAAAACCTTCATGGATGGTGGTTTAGAACGCGATTTAACTCTTTCTTACTCGATAGTGACGGCAGATGAAACAGTTAAACGTGATCTAATCGAGAGAATAAAGTAAAACGAGATCGATTTCAGTGTAACTGGTACATAGAATGAAGAAGAGAGAGAGAGAGAGAGAGAGAGAGAGAGAGGAAAAAATGTTTTCTCGTTTAGATTTATCTCGAAGGAAAATGTCTAAACGTGTACATATAGAATTTCACTACTAATCTTATCTATAGAAAGACTGACTTTCTCGGATATTTTCGTCGATCATATATAAAAACAAGTTAATTATTTCCACTTCACATACTCATTTGAATGATGATTGTGTGTATGTTATGGTTAAGATATGTCCTTGTAGATTTATCTCTCAGGCATAGTTATTATTACAGATAAATTTGAAGGTGAAAATAATAAATTGGTTTTCTGTAGTGCAAATGAAGATATTAGAAATAAATATTTTCATCTGATAATCAACATAGAAGAGTTGCTAATGTTCGTGTTAACTTGGCAATGAGAAGACATCTGATTGAAATCATGTCACATTTGAATGAGAAAGAAAGAGGAATTATTGCGTGATATGAAAGTGACTGATTTGTATTCAAACTTCAGCTTTATTGACCTTGAAAATAGGTTTTCAATTTATTATTTCAATCAACAATATGATCATATAAACAAATATTTTTTATGTCTGAATATGAGAAAAAAAAATGATCACAACTGTTATGATTTCTTCTGCTATTCTTCGCAGCGAACGAGAGAGTTAAAAGAAGAAAAAAAAACTGAAAGATTATTAACTTTTTCTTTTTTCTTTTTCGCTATTCAAGCCAAGGGGAAGACAAGGGAAAAGAAAGAAAGAAATTTTGCAATTCTTGTTTAATTTACTTGTTCACTTAAATAGAAAGAATTGATTAATAGAACGAACAACACTATAAGTTTCATATTTCACTTTTCAAGTAAAAGAAAATGTTCACAACTTCAACTCATCTCATCTGTCCGGCATGCTTAACAAGCGTAATTGGTCTCGCAGACAAAATGCATTATGCACGAAAAGTAAGTGTGAAAAAAAATAACATTGAAAAACATATTCTACGCATTTATTATCAATCGAAGATATGGCATAAAGTATGTTTCTGTTGTAAAGTCTGCAGTGTACAACTAAACTCCCTAAATGTCAGAATGCGCGATGATGACAGTTTCACTCTGTATTGCCTTCGGTATGTATAAAGACATGCAAATCGAACATAAATCTCATTTTCAAATCTCGATCTTAGACATTATCCTGAAGAAGATAATGTATCCATGTATAGTGAAACTTCGACGTTAGTCTCTTCGTATGATATGAAACATTCTCGTCTAGGACATCATGAGCATGATAATCCATTATACTGGACTGTTGATGATGTAGTCAAATGGTTGAATGAGATATCTTTACAACAGTATGAAGAGACTTTTCGTAAGAATAACATCGATGGATCGGTCTTGATGGATGAGAGTGATGGGATTGATAATGATACTCTGCAACAACTGATTCCGGCACTAGGTAGTCAACTGAAATTTCGAAAAGCGTTACGAATGCTGAGAAAGTAAAGCTTTTGTCAATCGAAAGTGAGATTTGGTGTGTTTAATTTCTATTCGAACTTAGTAGTACACGCACTTCGCAAAGGCCCGGTAGTGCAGTTAATAATGCACCTAAACAAGATCCCGAAATACATTTGAAGCTTTTACAAACAATTCAGCAACAATCAGAACACATTACTTCGCTTATTTCCACCGTTTCAGCTCAGGTTGCTTCATCTTGAATGAATTTCTTTTTCCATTGAAAAATTCCATTCTTTAGACTAAACAAATTGATGTATTAGTGACGAAAATGATTCCAAATTCGAGATTGATGCCAGTCGATGCCTTTACTAAATCATCATCGGTCGTACAGAACCAATTACTTGACCTCCCCTCGAACATTTCGAAAATACCTTTAGCGTCCGCAGATACTTCACCTTCTGATGTTCCAGTTATCGATTCGGTCGCACCATCCGTTCTCTCTCTTCCTTCGAATGTTCGCGTTCCAGCAACGGCAACACCTGTTCCAACAGCTGTTGACGGTCCTCAAGGTTCAACTGGCGTCACTTTTCCTGCTGTCATTCATCCAAACATCGAAGGTGTCGCCATTAAACCTGTGATTGATGATAAATATAACTATGAAAACTATGGTCATTATACAGTAACAATCTTCGATCAACAATCGGAAAACGCTCTCGTTCAAACAGTAGTTAATGTCGTACCGGAGAACGAAATTTGTATGCCGAAGAAGTTTGTTCTACGAGATTCGGTTAACAATGTGCTAGCTGGTGCAACAGTTAAACTGAAATTGCACGATGAAGTTGTTTTTACAGGTACGACCGATGAAACTGGAACTGTCATTATGCCAACAACATTACAAAAGAATTGTTACGAAGTGGACATCAAAGCAAAGGACTGTCAACACAAACCGTCAGTATTTCGAATGATTGTCTATGAAAATCGTGGATCGGATGTAAATACTCAATTTATTTGTCGGCAATTAGAAAGTGATCAAGTTGAGATTGTTCTCAAATGGAATCGATTACCGCGTGATCTCGATTCCCATTTGTATGTTTCCGATGGACGGCACGTTTTCTATGAATCGAAAGTCGAAGGCAATGTGTCACTCGATTATGATGTCACCAATGGTTATGGACCAGAAACCATTAAGCTAAAACTCGAACCAAATCTGAGATATCTGTATGTTGTTCATCGATATTCACGTGATGGGTTTCTGACAAAATCAGGTGCAACAGTAACGATTAATAATGGTACTCAAATGGCAAGTGCTACTAGTCCATATCAAGTTGTTCAAATACCTGTTGTTAATCAACCGAATGCGAATTTTTGGATTGTCTGTGAAATAGATGGTACAACAAAGAATATAACTATATTCGAAAATGAATTTGAACTTCACAATAATTATTCGTCAACGGAAGTAGGACTGAAATATTTCAGTCGTTAGACTAATTTTTATGCTTTGTAAATAGAAGTTTAGACTAAATAAAAAAGAAGGTGAATGATTGAAGAGCCTTTCAAATCTTTTAAGTGACATTTGTACATAACGAAGTTTGTTGACGGATTGGATTTCTTTCTCAGATGAAGTGTAAAGAGAGGATGAATGAAAAAAAAAGCGTAGAAACCAGGTGACATCTATGTTAACTATTTAATCCATTCCGTTGCTATGTTATATTGAATACAGTGTCAAGGTGAATGGGAGAGTTGAAACAAACTTTTCAATACATTCTCGATTCTTTTTAGCAACCATGAAAGCACGAACTGGTGCAGAGAAAAAAGCCGTAAATATTGGACATACATCATATCGGTTATGCGCTCAGATGTTTACATTTTTAGGCTCAACCAGTTGCTGGTGGAGTAACAGGTCAACGACGACTCAGTCAAGTCCATCGGGGGTCTACGGGAGGATATCGAGTACGAGCGAATAGTTGTTGACAGAGTAGTTCAAAGCTCTTCTACTTGTAGGATGATGACCAAGAAGGTGGAAATATGCCAACAAGTTACATTGAAGACGTAATTTTCGTCGTTCTACAATCTCGTTTAACTATCTCATGTACTTTTCTAGGCCCTCGGTCGTTCAGATGATCCATTGAAATTAACAGACGCGGTAATTCGCTCATCAACGAACTTAACATCACGTGCATTCAAACGACTGTTTCTAGGAACTCAATGAAGAACATACGCGAATTCTTACTGCACGAAATCCTCAAGCAGCTGAAAACATTGTTCGATACAACTATAAAGTATTATATCGAGTAGATTTCTTGTCGAATCCATTGCCCAAATTTCTTAGGAACGAATCTACAAGGCCATTCCGCACGTGGATCAATTAGCTGTTCACTTTCAAATGGATAGCAACATGATTCACAAAGATTCAGAAGACGCCAAACGACAAGCTACACTCGATACTGGAGGTAATAAACGGTGATGTCGAGAAGAGATCATCATCATCATCATCATCGCTTGTTTGTAGATCATGAACAGGAAGTAGTTGAAACAGAAACGGTAGCTATTGGTACAGATGGAGTAAATACATACAATTGTGTAATAAGATGACGATTAGATACGAATGTTAATTTAGGATGCCACCGCAAGAGATGGTGACGAAGATGATGAAGATAAACCAAAGAAACCGGCTCGCGCTGGTGGTAAAGCAAAGAAACTTACCAATCAATTCAATTTTAGCGAACGAGCATCTCAAACATACAACAATCCCGTTCGAGTATGTATCCGGAATCTAGCCTTCAATCGTCGAAGTTAATTTCTCTTCTTAGAATCGTGAAACTTTTGTAGAGCAAACTCCGCGTGCTACGTTTACAGATAATGTTTCACAATGGTCCATCTTCGATGCGTATAATGACGATTTCGAACAACAAGTAAAGAAGACGGTTGAAAACAGAATATTCCAATCGATTTCAAATTTGTTCATTTAGCAAAAATTAAAAGAAAAAGAATCGAAAAAACACACACTAAAAAAAGAAGAGGATAAAAAGAAAAAATTTGTTCCATCCGATCAACAAGTAAGATTTCAATTACAAAGATAAAATGTCATAATGTTCTTCTCAGGCTGGCGACGAATTCACCAAATTCGTTCGATCGAAAACAGCAACTGTTTCACTAAAAATACTTGAACGAATGATCAATCAAAACACATTCGACGACATTGCTCAAGGTATTTCCAACTGTATTCCTCTTCTCATCATCATCATCTTCGACATTGTCCCTCCTTAGATTTCAAATACTGGGAAGATGCTGCTGATGAATATCGAGAACAACAAGGTAGTCTTTTGCCATTATGGTTGTTTCAATATGAAATGGTGAAAAAACTTTCGTGTACAAATCTGGCTTGGAATTCTCAATATCCAGATTTATTCGCTGCTGCCTTTGGTTCATGTAAGTCACTTGGTATTGGAATTAACAATCTATCGAAGTTTGTTTTCAGACGATTTTCTTAAACAATCGCGCGGCATGTTTTTGATTTACTCATTGAAAAATCCAAGTTTTCCAGAAAATACCTTTCCAACAGATAGTGGTGTGATGAGTTTGGACTTCCATCCCAAACATTCCAATCTTCTCTGTTGTGGTAAGTTATCGTATCAGTCACTCGAAAGAATCTATAAAATACATTATCAAGCAAATATTTCAGTGAAAATACCGCGACAGATTCGGTAAATAAATTTCGTTCCACTTTATGATATCACTCGTAATTGCACGTAATGATTATGTAAAATGTGCCGTATTCAAGCACCTACTCTACGCTATCATCATGCATATTTCACAGCCATTGTAGTTGAAGGACGACACTATCGTATAGTTCTACTCAAAATTCTTCGAGATCTAAAAACGTTTTTATAATGTTTTAGATCGAGAGTATAAGATGTGACCTTAAAAATGAAAGGATTAGTATCGATTAAACAATGCTTTTCACGTCCTTGTGCTTAGACTGAGTATACACAAGTTTTGTTAGTCATCGTGAAACCCAGATTATATCAGTATAAATATAAATTCTACGTATGCCAATAAATAAACCTTGAAGAGTTAGAGTAAATAAAGAAGCCATCGAAGTTTTATTTAATGTAATCAGATTCACTGAATTTCATCGTAGGACATCTTATTTATGTTTAGTCTCGTTCAAAAGAAAGAAATGAATTGATACTTACAATGAAATTTTGCTTTAGGTTTTTATGATGGTTCAGTCGCTGTTTACAATATTGCTGATGAAAATAAACGACCGAAGTATCAAAGTACAGCACGTAGTGGCAAACACACAGATCCCGTTTGGCAAGTTCGCTGGCAAAAGGATGATTTAGATAACAATTTGAATTTCTATTCGGTTTCATCGGACGGACGAGTTGTTTGTTGGACGTTGGTCAAGGTAAACTGTCGAAGGCGAGAATGTCAAATTTGTAGTCGTTTTCTTTAGAGTGATTTGATGTACACGGACATAGTTCAATTGAAATTAGAGAAACCAGCAACAGAAGTGGACGAAGGTGTTCCGTTAACAACACTTGGTAGATATGTTTCTACTAATTTCCTATTTTTCTAATTGTTTTCTTACTAATAACAGGATGTGGCACATGTTTCGATTTCAATAAACAACAGGATTATTTATTTATTGTTGGTACTGAAGAAGGCAAAATTCACAAATGTTCGAAATCGTACAACAATCAATTCTTGGATACTATCGATGCTCATCATATGGCTGTTTACGCTGTCCGTTGGAACACATATCATCCAAAAATCTTTGCTAGCTGTTCAGCGGATTGGACTGTAAAAATCTGGGATATCAATTACAAGTAACATCGGACATTTCTCTTCGCTTGTAATTCATATCATTTTCTTCACAGAGATCCATTGTTTGTCTACGATCTTGGAAGTGCCGTTGGTGATGTGGCTTGGGCACCGTATTCTTCCACAGTGTTTGCAGCATGTACAGCTGATGGTAAAGTCTACGTCTTCGATTTGAATGTGAACAAATATGAACCTTTATGTGAACAAATTGTTGTACAAAAGAAACGTACGAAGCTAACACATGTTGCGTTCAATCAACGTCATCCAATTCTGCTTGTTGGTGACGATCGAGGCAATGTCATAACATTGAAACTTTCTCCGAATTTACGTAAGAAACCAAAAGTTAAGAAAGGACAAGAAGTACCCGAAGGTCCCGAAGCTGAAAATGCTAAATTAGATAAAATTCTTGCACTCATTCGTGATCCGGATGCATCGAAGAACAAACCAACAACATCAAGCTAAAAACCATTGTCTGTCCATGATTTTTTCATCATCATCATCATCGTCTTTTTTAAATCGTGTGCTTTTTACAGTACTAAACATGACTATCAATATAGCGTGCAAGTATTGTCAAATAAAATGATCACATATCTTCCGTATGATAAGTTTGTCTTCTAAGCTTTTTGTACATTTATGCGATGATTCTGATTTTATTGAATCGATTAGCCTTGCACATTCGGTTTTTTGTTTTATTTGAAAAGAACGAAATGTATCCATTACATTACCTTGGCTTCTGTATCGTTTGAAATACTCGTTATCATTGTCAAGGAAAGAAAACAACTCGATGCGTTTACATTAGTTAAGAAGAGGTTTATTGTTTTATTTATGAAAAATAATTTTTTCAAGTCTAAACTTATTATCTTCAAGGTGAGTAACAATTAAGTGTGAACAAAATAAATCAACTTTTTTGTAACATACATTAATAAGCGAAACAACAAAAAACTTAATGTCGTAATCAAAATGTCGTCCTATGTAAAAAGAAAAAAAAAGCGATTGATTTTACAAATCGAATCGAGAAGAAAATGACTTCACTTCAATCTGACGGTTTTTCATGTACGATTCTTCGAACTAGTTTTGTTTTATGTAATTCTTGACGCCTGAAACGTAAGTCCTTAGTTTTCGTCATTTTCCACGGGTCGTTGCTTCTTCATTTGTAACTAATGAATACTATCGATTTGTTGTTTTGTATATAAAACAGAAGGGTGATGAAGTATTATTCAATCTGAGATGTTTATGTTCGTCTGGTTAACGAATGATGACAAAGCGACAAACGTTAGAAGTTTCGTGTTTTTTTTTTAAATACTTATTCATATTTCTGCCTGTCTAGTCGATATGAAGTGTTAGGAACTGGAACGAACAAATAATCATAACAATAGTTGTCGTTATGTTGATTGTTCATTAGAGTTTGACATTTACAGAACAATAATTGACATTGAAAAGAAAAACGACCTTGCAGATTTTCATAAAGGTAAGTAATGATTCTTTTATGAAGAGTTAAAGACTTCTTTCAATTAATCTCTTTTACCAGAGAACGACGACAGACGATTTTTTCTTTTGATTCTCAGGAGACGTTTCTCGAGTATCTCACGTGGAAATGTATTCAATTGTATATCATTTGTCATTTTCCTATTAGCGCTACTTATGATTTTTAATCTTTGAGAAGCCAGAGGCCATAGAAAATGTTAGTAGTACTAATCATAGTGTTCATTCTTTTGACTACTCTACATTTATCAAAACGAGATGATACTTGAAAGAACTGGTAAGTTGACATTAGAATAAACCGTAAGAAAGATGATATGGATACTATTAGAATAAGAAAGTGAAGGAGAGATCATCTATACTATTCAATTTCTTTTCTTTTGTATTCTTTATCAAAGCTAATTACAATATGATATCTCTTTTTCTTTCTACTATTGACTGAACATATGAAATTGCCGATCGACATGTGCAACGATATGATGTTGATTGAAAAAGAAGGTGAGGTAAGGGAAAGATCAACTTTTAAGTGGTCGTTCTGACACACGATTTACATCGTCCACAGATTTCGTGGACGGCGTTCACTTTTTCTAACGGATAAGATGTATATCATTGGTGTTTGATATACCGATTTCGTACAATGATGAATACGATAATAGTTTCATTCGTTTTCGTCTCTCACACGTAACATGACGAAATTGTGTCATCGGTATGCGAACATAACTTTTATTGACACCGTTCGGAGTTACACAAGAGAACTAAAAACAGCATTGAAAGAAATTTAAATCTAATCAAGTGGTTTTATCACACATCTTGTCACGTCTTAGACGGGTATTAACGAAGATTATCGTAAGCCATACGAAGTAATTCTATTAGCAAAACCTTCGAAAAGAAAGAAATCCTTCCTCAACAATGTTTTTTTCCTCGTCATTCTCTAGATTCTTATTTAAAAAGAACAAATATGGATAAATCACTATCTTATCATCAGTATTATCAAATCGTTCCGCCAACGGTACACGCAACAAAGTATCGAAGTAAAAGTTCGGAATCTTTACCCAGTCATCATCTTCAACCGACAATTCTATTCGAACAACATCAGCAACATCTGAATAGAAAAGCCAAAGTCAAAAAATCCAACACTGCATTGATTGATTTTCAAGTGAAGCCATCGGCGAACACATCGTCTGTGCTACGTCGTCGATTTAGTCTGTTTCGGGCAAAACGTTGCCATCAGTCCGACGAACAAGCTGATATTCAAACCCTTCAACAGACAATCGATCAATTAAAACAGGATTTGTTGATAAAAACAAATGAACTTGAAGGAATGAAAGAATTAATCGAGAATAAACGAAATACAATGCGACACACGCCAGGTGATTCAATTGAACAAGCGATGCGTCTGCAGTTGATCCTACATGCTCGACTTGAAGAGATGCTTCGAGAAAACGAACTTTTGAAAAAAACCATTTGCGATCTTGAAACATTTGCACAACAACAAAAAAGTAAGATTTGATATTGACATGAGAAATTGTTCAATGAATATCAGATAGACGATAAGAGAAATTGAAAAAAAAAAGAAGAAGAAGAAGGAGGGACATTTCGAACTATGTAATCGAAAAATAAACTATTAGTAATTGGACAGATTGATATTTGAAGTAGATGTACTTCAACATGAAATGAATTAAGAATCGATTTTAAAACATGATATATCGATATAATAGGCGTTTTCTCCTCTAACTTAATAATACTGTAACGGAGTCCTTTATCGGGGACATTGACGATCAGTGAAGCGTTATGTCATCGGGGACACGTGCGGACAAGGATCGTTGTCTGAACTGACCTTGTTTGACGCATATTATGTCTCATCCAACTAGTTAGAAAAAAGAGAAACCAAGAGACAGGTTTCTACCTCTGTCTCTGTTTCTTCTTCGTCTGTATATCGATGTACACATTGTAGTTATTTCTTTCTTTCGCTCTTTCTCTTTCTCTTCTCTCACACTCCTCTCTCTCTCTCTTCCTCGCATTCGCCATCAAAACATGCGTACGATCGAACAAAACATATATATCCATCGGTCGAACTAAAAGCTGATCAGTAACAGTTCTCTTTTCTTTCCTATCAGTATTAATCATTGTTTCATTTCAATAATCATTTGCAGAAACTGAGAAAATAAAAAAGAAACAACGCCCACCATGCGTCTTTTTCGACGATTTCGAAAAACGAATCCACCAACATCTTCTCCCACATCACTACAAACAGTTGTAGTAAACAAAGGTAAAAACATACAGATTTTTCTCTTGTCATTGTTCTTCATACTTACGTGCGATGACCAGTTTTCATCAGTTAACATTTACAAAAGGTATATACGTCACACTTTTTTTTTTGTACAAAGTAAACATTAGTCTAATGAGATTTATCGTCTTCTTTGACTAGCACATTCATCATAATATATGTTGGTACACATTTCGAACATTGCGCTGCTAATGTTCATCCAATAAAAACACTACCTGCGTGTGTGTGTCTGTATGCGTCTACTCAATTAGACTGACCTTTTTAGCCTCGAGTGAAATATCTTCTGTCTTTGAATTGAAACTTGATTGTTTTCATTTTTTCGATAAGTTATCATTTCATCTGGAAATCTTGCGTTCACCTGATTAGTCTATTACATCGATTTGAATGGTCAGTGTATGATATAATAATGCACAGATACACCTGTCTATTTGCTCAATTCAATCCGATGATGAATGAGTCAAACGAAAAGATAAGAGATATATACGTTCACTTTGAAAGTAAACAGAAATTTCTATTTACTCGTTGATGTCGTTCGTACGTTCGATATGTCATTACCTATTGATACCAAAAGTACGAATCCACTTCTTTCTATAGAGAAAGGAAAGTCCTTATGAGATTTGTTAAGGTTTCTATTTTTGCTAATAGTCAAATGAAGTACCAAGCAGGCACAAGAAGAAAGAAAAGAAAAACATTAAATTGATTTCATTACGAAAGACTTTAGTGGCTTTTTTTTCGCATCTTATGTAATACCGATGAAAGTTCACTTTAATAGAGATTGTATTCAGTGTTTCTTTCGCTTCGAATGTATCAGATCTACTTACATCGATGTTCATCACAATTGACTAATACTTAGCTAATGTCTCGAGCAGATTTCATTAGAAAATGAAAGCTTAACGTTTGTCTTATCAACATCATAGACAAACATGACAAAATCTCTCGGAGAACTTACACTGTATAATTATTATCATATATACATATTTCCAGTTCGATTACGTCATCATTATAAACATATTTAAGAATCCTTGTATAGTTCATTAGAACGTCATGTCATGCCGAGGTGACAAATGAACACTTTGTACATCGTATAAAGGCCGTGTATATACATACATATTCAATCGGATAGAAATATGTTAATGATTCGATAAATGTTCATGAATTAAGTAGACTAATACTGAATAAGTGATTTAATTAGACGATTCGAACGGGAACGACAAATATTTTAACAGGCAAATATATATATATATTTCTAGCCTATTGTACTCATCTATCAAGGTTTCCTATACACCTTATGTGTACACGCATATCAATGGTATGTGGTAATTATTCTGACCTTATATTATGTTAGACTTGTACGTTTATTCTCATGAATAAGTCGAAAAGAAAAGAAAAGAAAAGAAAAGAATCAATCGTCGACCCTGAAACAATTGAGATGACGATCTATGATAAGGGAAATGTATGATATGAAAAGAAAAAGTCAATTAATAGTCACATGTTGATTATGTCATTTTTCCTTTTAGCGTCGAACTCACCTTCGAATAACTCTTTGCTGACATCTACTTTCTCTGAACCATATAATAACTCCAATGGCAAATCAATGCCTATTGCACACTCTATACCTGTATCTCGTACAGATGTACGGCATAAAAATGAAGTGGAAGTGGAACTCAAACCACCACCACAACAGCAGCAGCAGCCGCAGCAAACAAGGAACACATTTCAGAATAATGTGTCTCCAATGTCTACAGTATCTTATCCTCCTGTGGTACGTCCAATAGGTATTACAAATAATCGAGTACCAGCAATGTTCTTCGATGAAAATACTCCTTCACAGCATTATCAAACACCGAAACGTCGTATTCTAACCAATTCCGCACAAACTCAAACGTTCAATCAAAATGATCAGTATCTTCAACAATTAAAAGCATTGAACGAAGAAACCGTAGTGAAAAACGAAAAGATTCATATTCTACTACGTGAATTGACTGACTGTCAGGTGAATATCTCTTGACGAAACGTTTCTTTTTCTTGCCCTTAGATTCTCTACATACTCCAGGTGTTAATCTTTACCTCTCATTCTTTTCTTCGTTTTCTATCTCCTATACAGGTAATAATCAAACAGCAGGAACAACAATTGGTGAACGGTAAAAAAGAACGCGATCAATTGTGTAGTATCGTCGATGAGCGATCGAACGACTTACGTAATCTTAAGCAAAAGAATGAACAATTGGAGCAAATGATAAGAAATGGTAAATAATGTAATATATACATTCATACATAGCGAGGAAGATACACGTACATACCATGTGAATATGCTTGTCGTTTGCCTCTTTCGATTTAGAACACGAACATAAAACCGACGAAAAGAAGCTTATCTCTCTCCTACAAGAATCTCAAGAAGAGCGCGAACAATTAATAAATCAACAGGTAGACTTGACTTGGTTTCCTCGTGAATATTTTTTTATGTGTTTAGAGACAAACTCATGAACGTATTTACAAGTTTGAAGAACAACTGAAGTATTATGAAAATGATGCCGCGAAAATGCGCGACCATCTCCTATGTTCGAAACTGAAATTAGATAAGAAAACAGATGAAAACGAATGTTTAACTAATGAATTAGCCAATATGAAAAAACGTTGTGATCGTCTCGAACAAGAAAATCAAAAGTTCAAATTACAAATTGATTTCGAACGAAAAAAAGTAGAACTTGATTTTCTTCATCTTCTAATTTCACTGCAATGTTTCCTTTGTACTATAGAATGAAGAATGTACGAAATTGAAAGCATTAGTCGATATCGAACTGCAGAATTCAATCGAAAAATTCCGTTCGCAACGATACGAATATGAAACCAAAATAGGTAGTTTAGATGAAGCATTAAAATATTCGCAAAAACAAAACCAAATTCTTCAACAAAATCAACGTCTAATCGATGAAAAACACGAAAACGATGTTCATCAATTGAAACATCACATTCGCGAATTGGAAGTGAAGATCGAAGAAGTCATTAAAGACAAAGCTCTCTTGTCGATTCGTTGTGGCGAATTGATTGATGAAAATCGCAAATTGGAAAAGGCTCTGACAGATAAAGAAGATGATTACGACGAAAAACTTTGTTGCTATAAAGAGAAGAATTTATGTTTATCTACACAAGTCGAAGAGATGGAAAAGAAATTAAATGAAACAAAAAAACAATTAGATATAGTGACCATGGAAAAAGACGAAACTCTAGCGGATATGTTAGTCGCTGTTCGTGTGGCAAGTGAACTGAGATACGGTAAAATCATTGGATTAGTTAAGAGAGTAAAAACATACGAATGAACTACTTGATTTAGATGCGGAGGATCGTTTGAATAAAGCGAATGATGATTTGAAACGAGTGACTGAACATATCGCGCAAGAGCGAGCGATGAATAAAGCTGTGCAACGAAAACAAGTAAGAGTATATGATATGAATTCTATAGACTGAAAATTGAATGTGATTTAGATGCAAGGCAATCGAAGTTCCGATGAAGCAACTGGTGAGATATGATAAAAAATTTGTTTGTCAGTTGTGAAGAAACAAGACTTTCGTTTTAGATTATGGTCATGTGAAAATCAAAGATATGATTCGTACATTAGAAGCCAATTCCCGAAATCGTAAGTTTGAATATTCAACCTCTGTTTTTCGCGGAAACAGTCTTTCTGTCTATAGATCCTACCAGCAATCCTGTTGAAGCCAGTGCTCGTCAACGTCCACTTTCTCATCCCACTTCTCGATTGGAAACGAGTGCCGAACCGACAGTTCACCATCATCGACCGTTTGATACATCGACTGACGATGCGAAAATCTTATCTTCTACAAAGACTGAATCTCCTCAATTGAATCTTACTCAACGCTCTGATGTTGGCATGCGATCGATAACGAAGTATTGTGTTGAACTATTCATACTCTTGACAATTCACTTCATTTCTACTAGTGAACAATACGCTGAAATGAAATCCATTGTTGAAACTGTCTTTGCTCGAATGCCGGGCAGCGTTTGTAAACGTGATGCTTTACTAAAATGGTGTGTCGAAAAATTAGCAGCTTATGTAAGTGATATTGAGTTGACGTTGCAAATTAACAGATTTTCTAATTGATTACAGGGAATACAAATCACGAACTTTTCGAATTCATGGACTGATGGTATTGCATTTTGTTCCTTGTTACATGCGTTTTTACCTGATCGAGTCGATCTTGAAATGATTAAGAAAGAAAGCAAAGTAGGACAACAATCAGTATCATCAACAAACTTATGTTCTTCACTATAGAAAAAACGTTTTGAAATCGCCTTCGATATTGCCAGTAGTGTTGGAATCGTTTCTGTTTTGGTAAGTGTATGATAGAACACATGTATCTTCGTACACTCTTTCTATTTTTAGGATGTTGATGAAATGTGTTCATCGGAATGGCCTGACTGGGAACGTGTGATGTATTATATTGCTTTAATTTTTCGTCACTTTGAAGGCACGACACTAACAGAACCAATTTCACCTATCCTACCTATCCCGCAAGCATCATCCTCACCATTATCATCGACATTTAACACAACGTCGTCTCCTTCGCTGTGTGTTTCATTACGATCACCTAATACAATCCCGACAAAACTTTGCTCGCCATTACAAACTGTGTAGAAAGAAACGATTTTAGTCCAATTTTCGAATCTACTAAGTAGAATACATTCCACAATTCTATTTTATAACTTTGTAATACTCAAATTTATATGTTCTTCTTTTATTCGATAGTATAACATCTCTATTGAATGAGCAAAGAAGGAACATAGCCAGTTGTTTTTCTTTTGTTTCATGTTTTTAATTTATATTATGATGATTATTAGAGATACATTTAAAGATGATTTATTTTTTGTTTTCTCTTGTCTACTAACTTGATCTTTTTTTTGTTTTCTTTTTTCTTTCGTTTGTTTAATATATATTCTCGTATATATATATTATATATAAATATAATTAAGTGTAAGCATGGACGTGAACAAGCGAAAAGATCAGAATGCATTGTCGGACGGTATCAGAGCAGTTGCTGTTTTGTTATGAAGAGCCCTTTTCGATGTTCTATTTATTTAAAGTTCAATTGCGATTGGATAATGGTACTTGTCTTTCAAGCATTCTTTGTGGTAGTACATAAAAGATCTGTAATTGAATACAATGAAGTCGATAAGCAAATAAATGTCCGAAAGCTGTTGAGTGAAAAAACAAGTCGAATCATCCAGTACGATGATGACCGATGGTGATGCATTGACTATGATAATCTTATACCGAAGAACGAAAAATCAATGATTGAATACGGATGTGTGCGTCTTGTATGATTGATTGTTCTGACAGACATATGTATTCAATTGATAACTGTACATTGATTTAAAGTATATTTATTTTGAAAATTAGAAAAAAAATGACGATGAAGACGACGAACGAAAAGAAAATACGACATAATGCTTTTTTCGATGCGTCAAATGCCTCGACGTGCGCCTGCAACAGCAGCTGCGTCTCAACCAAATTCGCTTGGTTTTCAACAGCGAAGTATGAACTCATATTCTATTATACGAAATCCTTGTTTGATTGTTTTTATCTCTTTGAAGATGTATATACAAACGATCCTGAAAGTGTAATGTATTCTGTCATCTTTCGCGACGAATTCCGATTACCGAATAGACTGACCCGACATCGAACAAAAAGAAAAGAGCACATCATAACAAAGTCTTCTCTTCTCATCTCTTAGCATACATTACCGATGCCAAATAAGTTCGACAAACGGAAAGAGGAAAAGGAAGGGAGATAAACATTTATTGTTCACATACCGCTGATGTGAAAAGAAGGTAGATCATAATCGTTCTTTTTCGTATTATAGTCTACAACGGCGACCAGTTGTTATCGAACACCGACGAACATGAATGCTCATAATACAACACCGAATTACACGCCACCAGGTCCAATTCAACCTGCTAATTTTGGTCCACCACCGCCACCACCGCCGGCACCACGAGAAAGTCTTATTGACAAAGCTTATGTGACATCTATTCGAGGCATGCTGAAATTTGGTTGTTTGGTAAGTCGTTTGTTCTAACTTGAGGGTGAAAATCAATACATTTTTGCGTTTAGCTATTTTGTTTCATTGCATTCATGTGTGTCGTGTCAACGCCACAATGTAATGGCAATCACGTATTTCTGGCGTCTGTTACTTGGTTGGTCATGATTATGCAGGTGATGATTATTGTCGCTTTCGTATTTCGATTGAGAACACGATTCACTGGTATTGATTTCGAGTTTCTGGTGAGTAGACGATGATGAGAACTGATCATCACGTACAGATACATTTCCGTGTTGACATATGTTTTCGAAGGATTAATCATCAACGATTAGATCATTTTTTATTTGTAGGACTTCTTTTCAACATCTCACGATGCTCTCTATCTTTTGGTAAAAACGTGTTTCAATTATTTTTCTTTCGTACAGAATTGTAGTTTATATATCAATATTTAGATTGCATCGAGTGTTACAATTCATTATTGTCGAATTCCTGGACAAGTTGCTGGCGGAGTGAGTAATATGAAAGACAAGGAGCTTGTAGTTCATTTTATAATATAGGTCATGGGAATTTTTGCATTTTTATTCTTGGCTGGCGATGCTGTTGTCATTTTCTTGGCTCGACGAGATGCGTTAATTCCTATTCAACATGGTGTTCGATGATCTATTTTTCCTGTCAGATTTTGTAAATGTATGCTTATGCATACTATATAAAAAATTTCTCTTATAGTTCATGTTGTCTTGCGGATCCTATTCAAATAATATATCTAAATTGTGTATCTAAGATTAAAGTAGAGAGCGAACATGTTATCTTATCTTAACTTCTCTTGTTGAAAATTAGTCATATGAACAAGTCAATAATGACAGATGTAAATTCTGTAGTTAGATGGTTAGCTAAGAAGAATATTGACTCATTGAATATAGTTTCAGAAACTGATCGCAAGTCTTTATTTATTAAATTATATGTTAAGTTGTTTTCCAGCTTCAATCGTGTTTCGAGAAAGTGACACTCGAATATTTGAAAACATTTGACCCATTGCACGATGCATAGGTCCGATGATCGCATCACAGGCTGCTTGAACATACACTCCCATTTCAGCGATTTGTGTTCGCGTGAGTTGACGCATTGGCACAAGCACCCAGACCATTAAGAATGTGTACGCACCGAACGCCAAACCCCAAAATAACATCAATGGCAAACCGACCAGCACTGTCAACAGACGATAGATGAAGATCTTGCTGTAGTGATAAACTTGATGTGAAATCTTGTGAAAGACTTCAAAGCTGTAGGCACTTGTATCAGGTTCACCAATGACATGAAAGAAGTCGAGCTAAATGAAGAGAAGAGCATGGAATGAATGAATGAATTGAAGGTGGATGTATACTTGAAGATGTTGATTGATCTTGACTGGATCTCGGTTGTCGGGATCGTGGACAGACGGAGATGGAAACTGAGTTGGATCGAAATATGTTGCCGCCATGGTTGAAATGTTGATGTTTGTGTTCGAAAGGTAGTATATATAGGTCGAGCCGAACAGCGATAGTAGTTTGTTGATGCTTTGTCAACACTAGACAAAAAAGATAAGAGATGATATGACATCATCGTGAGCATAGGGTTGGAATGGATGAATCAGTGCTTTTAGAAAGGGATCTCTGTAACTAATATCAATACGAACAGGATTCTCGGGGCATTGGTATCTGGCGCCATCTGTAAGTGGAGTCTGTTGTATCATATACGATTTCAGAACATTTTTAGGCAATAGGAAATAAAGCTACTCGATAAAACATATATACATCGTACGATCCCGTGATGATCTTTCTCTAGGTACAGAAAAGCAGACTGTTGTTTTTCCTTTTCAGGAGAGATGTCATACTAACTCTATCTAATGTACTCTGTTGAGAAGATATGTAAGTACACAATTTACTCAGAACTGGATACATGTCTGTTGGAAATTTGCATTGTTATTGAAACTGTATTTATCGTGTTACAGATTTCTAAACAATGTCTAACGACACATACAATAGTGAACTACAAAAACCAAATATTTATAACAAATATTTGCCGTATTACGAATCGATCCAAGAGCATAGTTCGAAGTCATTCGATGAAATTTGCGAGAATCTTTCACGTCTCATACAATCACAAGAACTACAACCTGGCTTTCCTCTCTGGACATCGAAACTACAACAATTCATATCTCTCTATGGATATTCGTTTACCAAAACAGATCATTTAAAGTTGATACACTTCTATCTGGCGATCCTTTCGATAAAAACTCTCAATTATATCAATGCCCAAATATGTTTCAATATGCTCAGTCAACTTCTGCGGTGCGTATTAAAATCTTTTTTCGAATGGTTACTAAACGAAAAAAAGTAGTGGGAATATTTTTCTACTTTTAGCAAAACATATTTGATTACTCGGCAAGATTTGACTGTCGATTGGCATATTCTATACAGTTGGGCGAAACTGGTTCTTTTCAATCATGATGAATCCTATTCATTGGTTGCTCTGCCTAAGTTTGTTGAAAGCCGATGAATTCAACTGAAACGACTATGTTTTCCATCTAGAAATATTGATAATTCTTTGCTGTTCTGCATACGTAGCTGTCGTCCGTATTTTTCTGACACAGCAACGCAGGAGATTCTTGACGAGTTTCGACCATGTTTATGCCCGTTCGATACAGTCTGTGGTGATGTGATGAGCTATTGGGATGTGTTCCTACCAGTTCATCTTCCCAAAGAATTACATCATCAAGGATTCAAGTAAGTCACGAAGTCGAGCTTGGATCTAATCTATCCTACTGCATGGTTTATATAGATTATGGTTACCCGAATTCTTGGATATTTGGGACACAGTTTGCAACAATCCAGAATGGGAACAGGTCAGATAAGTTCTTGTGAATTGGTTTCCTATGCAATTTAAGTGCTTTTCAGAGTTTGATTAATCTATTTTCTTTTCTTGCTTGGTGTAACATTGGATATATCGATTGGCAATCTTGGCTTCCACGAGTGAATATCCATTTACATAAACTGATCTTCGTTAATTCGTCAATTCTTATCGCATTTAGATTTTTACGCGAATTTTAAAAAATCTTTCACTTCCAGTTGGGAGTACGGAATTACCCGAACCGACACGGCGCTATTCTATATCAGTTGTGGCAACATGGATCGTTGCCATGATGGGCAACAATAGCGCATGCATCGGATACTTACGCGATTTGGTAGCTGCCATCCGAATCTTTTATCATCCATCAAACACTGGAGAATTTCAAGGGGAACTAATCAATTTTCTTTCCATGCTCGCTCAAACGTTCGTTGATCGAGTTTATTTGTAAGTTAATGGAAGCAATGCGTGTCAGACTTTTGAGAAAGTTCTTTTTTTGTTTTGTAGGGAACGTTCAAGTCATGCAGTATGGTATTTCAATCCATCTGAGTCTCATCGATTAACAGAGAATGATATAACAGATTTCGTCAATTGTCTCAAAGAATGCGCATTCATTTCAATCTTCAACAAAGATCATTTAGAATTAGCGGTTGAAACATGCTACTATCTTTCACAACTTCGACCTGAATTAATTGTTCCACCATTAGTTGAATTGTATGTAACTTTTCTGTTTGTCAATACATTCGAATTTTTATCCACATTCTTTCCTAGATTTTTCTCATCTATTGATAATCTCACCGAGCCACATCGTTTCTTATCAATAGTTACTTGTCTGACGGGATTAAACCGACAAATTGTTCGTCAAACAGCGGACTTTGTTCAAGGTCAAACATATGTGCTTCCATTGCTCATGTCCGTTTTACCTGGTATCGATTCGAATGATTTCAAGAAAACATCAGTGACATTACAATTTCTCCATGCTATGCTCATGCTTATTACATGTGTCGATTGTTCATCGGCGATACAAACACGCAATGATTTGAGCGAAGTAAAACAAATAAATTCTCTTCCTACTCGATCTATTTCTTTCCATTCTAGATCGAAAAAGAAGTGTGCTTATCGACAAGTAAATTCGAAGATCTCATTAGTGAACTTCTCAATCGTATCTTTCAAATGATCGATACATTATCAGTTGATATATCGGATGTTGTCATTTCGACTAATGCTTCGAAGAAAGAGTATCATCATATTGGATTGGAATTAACATCGGTTATTTCAGCTATTTGTCAACAATGTAGTACCAAAATATTTCAAGTAAATTTCAAAAAATAAACGAAGGTTCTTCCTCAAAATCGATTCCTTCCATTTAGATGATTCGAGAGAAGATTACAAATTTTCTTGCGACGTATTCGTATTCGGCAAAGGTTAATCAACTTGTTACTGGACTTGTTCAAGCCCTTTTGAAGAGTAATCCAAATGAAACATTGAAATATCTTCTACCTCAAACATGCGAATGTATTGAAAAGATTATTCATCAATCGAATAAAACAATCTTAGATGATCACCATGGAGATTCGAAGCTAACTTGGTATTTAACTCTCTTTTCTGAACTTGTCTCTGCACGTGGGGATGCGCTGATTGTCTACAAATCGATAATTCTCTTCGTTTTTCGCCAATGCCACCATATTACCCATCAAGAATCGTCAGAAGCAATGGCCAAAGCAGCGAAAAACTTGCTAAAATCCTTGTCCTATGTGTACCCAAGTGATTATCGGTTAATCGTAGAAAACATCGAAGAACCATTTTTAGACTGTTTACCTATTCGAGTATGTAGGAAATTTTCGAGAAAAACCTGTATGAAACTCGAGTATTTTCATAAGACATGGGGACAACATGTTGAATATGATAAACTTCAAGTAAAATATCATATTCCCAGTGAAGAAGAAGTCGATTTTGCATGTGAATTCGTCGAAACATTCCTCTATTCGGAATTACGAATGTTCAATGAAAACTGCTCGAAAATGTCCAACAACGAACGTCTACGATCGCTTAGATTTATACACGAAATCGCACTCGGATGTTTGCGTATGGTTCCCCGAATTCAAAGCGAAGAAGTCTCAAATCTGTTCGTCATCTTTCCTCATACATTCGCAAATCCATTGTAAAGTTCCTTGTCTATTTTAGAGTTTCATCAGTAACACCATACGATTTCAAATGTCAAGCTCAGTATTCTCTTTATGCTAAACAACCGAGTAAATAAGAACAATTATCTAGGAAAGACATTCGACGTTTCTCTTTAGAGTTCGAAGAGAATCTACGAATGCGTCTACTCACCGATTTCGGCGGACTACTCGGTAACATTCGCATGAACGATTAAAAGATTTCGAATTAATGCCGCTCTTGATTTTAGATCATCTTATTCAATATCATTCAGATGATGCAACCGCAATTAAAATAGCACTTAAAGTAAATAATCTAACTGGTTTTTCTTAAATTATTTGTACGTTTGCTTGTTAGATCTATTCACTTCCAGCGATGTATTATGGTAATTTCGAAAAAAGCACTAACAAATTGTTGAAAGAGTTCAATCAACTGAAATATGCATTCAAAACTAAGCTTTGTGGACCTAAACAACATCCTCGATTTGTTATTGTACAACGTCTTGCCGTACAACTCGAGGTAATCTTCAATCGTCCGCTATTGCAAAACAATGCTTTATTGATCTCGTTATAGTTATTCTCCGTCAGTAATTTTCGAACATTGACCAAAATCGACCAGCAGGTCATATGGAAATTGTTTGAATTATCCATCAATCGCTACAGCGAAGTAAAATGACTTTTCATGAATAGGATTCTCAGTGTGGATCTTCATTGAAATTTACAGGTTCGTCGTCAAGCTCAAACAAATCTATTCGAAATGCTCGGCCATTTCTTCTTTTCGTATCAAGTTATTCTTGATCGCATTGTTGATCTACTAAATCAAACGAACGATGTTGATCATGATCAACTCAAAGGATGTTTATACATACTTCTTGGAAATGATGCCAATTTTCTTCCTGTCAAACATTCGTGGGTGATCGTCGAAAAATTGTGGCCATCCATCGCTTCTACAAAACATGCAACTAAGCTCAGCACACAAAATCTTCTTAATTCGATTATCTATCAAATGTGTCAACGATACCATACAATGGCAATTGTAGAAGATACAAATGAAATTGCGCGAAAAGTAGCCGTTGACTTATGGCGTTCGTTGGATGAGCATGATTTGGAATTCTATAATCGAATTTGCAAAGAAAGAAACGATGCTAACATTCATTCATATCAAAATGTTGTGGAGAAATTAACTTCGTTATTCTACACTGATCAATTGTATGCTCACGCTTAGAAATACTCTAATCGATTGTTGTTTTTTCTATGTAGAACTTGTCGACAACAAGTAACAGCGATAACGTTCATTATGTTTCTCTTCCAAAAGCAAGTTCAAATTCCATTGTCATGTATTCGAATGACAGTCGAGTTTCTTATTCATGAGAATCAAAATATTCGCAAGGTTTGTTCAAAAGAAGCTTGATGAATACGACACTTTCTTTCCTCTTCTGTAGGCAGCGGAACGATGTGTGTCAGCTCTCTGTCGAATACAAAAGCCACCGATAATTTATCTGAAAAAATCGCTTCACGAAATCCTATATCATGTCAAAAAACCATGTCCCGGTGAAGATTGTTGCTGTCCGGGTGATCGTGATGATAATCTATGGATAACAATAAACGATTACAAGCCAGCTGAAACACAAGCTGAATGGGAACAAACATGTTTTTTGGACAAATGCTTCCATGGATATTATAAGTGGCCAAAAATTATCAAATATCCTATGAATAAACGTGAACGCTATGTCAAAGGTGCCATGCCAGAGCACGTTTCTGTTGTGTATGATCGATTTATGGATAAAAGTTTTCTGACGAAATCAGTTCAATATTGGATTATGGATGAAGAAGATAATAGGATTAACTTCGATATACATCGATTTCGAATCTTCAAAGTACGTTCAATTCAAGTCTTGACTAGTTAAAGTGTTTATCTCATTTTAATAGGGTTTATTTCGAAACTTTGGTTCTGATTTAATACCATTATTTTTCGAACAATTGAATATGCTTATTCATGAGAAAAGCAATTCAAAACGTGAAGGTAGTCAACGGGTTGCAGCTGAAATCGTGGCCGGAATGATTCGTGGCTCGAAATATTGGACATTGGAAATGGTATGTTGCATATTTTTCCTTTTAGAATAAATCTTCTACGAGAATTCTTTCAGTTAGATCAATTATGGGAAAAATTAATTGCCTTACTGACGGAAGTTTGTCAGAATCTCAGTCCAGAGACGTTACAATATTGGGGCGCATGCTTCAAATTCGGCATGGTTTGTCGCATTCATTTTTCAGACCAAATGAATTGTCTCTTGTAGGAAGATTTAGATCCTCGACGAATGCATCGTCTTATTGAATTTATTCATACTTTAATTAAAGATCAAACCATTGTTAATACATTTCTTGAAACATCACGATGGTTTCTAGTTTTAAAATTAACGAATTTCGAATGGCGCGTGCCCGCGATATGGTGTACTATCAATGAATATGCAAAAGAGATGCTTGATCATCCTTATAAAGCTGTGCGAGAGCATATAGCCAAGTAAATAACGAAGAGAAGCCCAATGGAATTAGTATTGACGTTTTTGTTTCTCTAGTATTCTATCTGTTTCGCTCAGTTTCGATGTGAAATTACCAAATGGACAAGCAACACGCCATCCGGATGCGAATCGATTTATTGATACTATTCGCGAACGATTACATCAAGCGATAGAGATTTATGAAAAAAAACCATTAGGTAAAATAGGATTCTTGTGCGTACAAAGTTCTTATCTGAGTTGCGTGTGATCGAATCTTTTCAGCCAATATCATTGGACACACAGTTGAAATCGATCAAGAAGCTCGTAAAGCTTTGAATTTCATCGAAACAGGTAATTTCTTTCTTATTTAAAGAATTTCATCATCGAATCATCGATTTTAGTTATTCAATTTCATACTCGTATATTCATGTGGTGTTTACAACCGATGAAGAGTGCTATTATTCGAATATTTCCTTATGTATGTTTGAATTGAAACAAAAGAAAAAGCCCTGTTATTGAAAATGTCTATTTCGCTTAGCTCTGTGAATTGGAGAGTATCGCTTCGAGTGAAAGTTTAACAACAAGTCGAATGTATGTAGCTATGACCTATCTTCATCCACCTTTTCTACAAGCATTAATTGAACAGTTGGAACAAGTAATTGATTGAATGTTGAATTGTGAAAAAAACTAGTCTCTCCTTTTTGCATAGGTTTGTAAAAATACCAAATGGCACGCTCGTCGTGCAGCGATGGAATTTGTGCAAAGTATGGTGTTCTATAACTTTTTCAACGCTCGTGTTTACACAAAACAACTGCGAGAGCTTGTCTTGAAATGTCTATCTGACGAGCAACTGGAAGTGCGCACAGTTGCATCAGTGACACTCGCTGGGTTCTATCAATGTGGTTACATTCAAGTTAATCAAGAAGATTTCGTAAATATTTAGATTTCATCGTATGTTAAGATTGTTTGTACTCTTCTAGACACAATTTCATACGATGAGTAAAACAAACTATTTTTCGAAAGTGAGCGGAAAAAAAGTGGTATCAACTGGAAAATTAATCAAGCGACACGGAGGTATGTTGAATTCATACAATAAATTCACTTATAAAGCAATATATGATAAGGTATTCTTGGTCTCTGTGCGATTGTTCTCTCATCTCCATATGATATTTCAAACTACGTTCCTGATGCATTGATGCTTCTGTGTGAACACTCACATGATCCTGATCTTATTCAGGTATGTTGTTTGATACATCAGACTAGGTCATATGTTATTTCGTGTCTTTCTCGACGATTAGAAATCAATCAAGAAAACCTTAACAGAATTTCGTCGTACACATCATGACTCTTGGCATGAACATCGGGAGAAATTTACCGATGATCAACTTGTCATCCTAGCTGATGTATTGATATCACCAAATTATTATGCATAAATAATGCTTACAACTGGTGTGACATTTCCCCCTCTCAAAATCAATTGAATCTTTTTTCTCCTTTCCCTTATATTACTTAAATGTTATTGAAAATATCTTCAAATAGATCTATATATATATATAAATATAAAGAAGAAAGTTTGTCTGTTCGCTATGCATTCCGTCTTGAGGGTGAGGATGTATGAGGAATGTTGAAGGTTTCGATTAGAGCACTGATGAGAGCGAAAATGAGGCTCATGGTAAATGTTTCAAGTTCAAAACAAGTAGCGCTCATCCTTTGGATTCGCTGACCCTTTTCTGAAAGAATGGTCCCAGTGCTGACCACATTCAAACACTTTGAAAGACAACTAAGGCATTGCGATTGCTACTAGTCCTCAGCTGAACCATGGCATTATATCACACACTAGAGTGAATAGAAGACAGAGATTGTTCTTTTTCAGAAACCGAACCGATTAGCCATTCGTCAGTGAGTAATTCTCAAGAACTAACTGTGTTGATTGAAAACGCCATCCCCCAATGGCTAGTCGCTCGTCAACCTTCCTCCGGTCGACCACTCACGGCTAGCCGTTGGCACATATACGATTAGTTTCCCAGTTTCACACCGAACAGTTGACCCGCTCATAATTGATCGGTTTCTCACCCGAGATATTGAAACTTTACATAATAGTGTG